GAAATTTTGTCAAAGATTAATGAATCGAAGGGGGATTTCGAAGTTTATTACAGATTCTAACCTAAATTTTCAGTTATATTAACTATCACAGGTGTGTCTCCATGGATTTTCATGGCAAATATTTGCTTTTCCTTGTCGACAGCTGGAAACCTAAAGCGATCGTTAATTTTCCCCAAAGTTTTCATGTAAATAAGAAGGGGTGTTATAAGACTCGTTCGCAACATATTCTAGCCGCAAATTTTAGAAGCCAAGTGGCTCCTTGGACGATAGTTGCGGCTTGACCTCACGTTGTGGATTAGGGACGAGAGAGAACAACTTCCACTTACAAAACTTTATCTTCCCCCCTCCCTCTATCTTTGTTGCGGCAACGCTAACAAATTGTCAACATACTTTAAATTCAACATATTCGTAAAGTAACAAAAACTTCCAAACAAGGAGAAAAATGAATTGTTGTAAACCTGAAACTAACAAATTTTGTTTGGTCACTATAACAAATCTTTATTGTTACAACAAAATTTTATTGTTTCTTACAAAAATACAGATTTGTTAAAACGACCTAAAAAAATGTATTAGATCCAGAGGTTTAGTAAGTATAATTCATTTTTCACCATGTAAATTATTTAACTTTGAAAGTAATATTTTAATGTAAATAATCTCCCAATTATGAGCAAATGAATATGAATTTTCCGTAAACCGCACGAAACTTGAAGTGCATACATAAAACGATATTATTATAAACTCAAATCAGAATAAAATACACATATTGATTTTTCCGAAAGAAAAATATGAAGTAATAATTTAAATTTTCTATATACAGCGAAATATTCACTTTTTCTTTTTTTAACAAGAGATTGTTACTGATTCCTGCAAATATTACGGATCACAACATGAAAGCAAAAGCAATGTTGAGAGAATGTTTGCATAAATTGGAAAAGCGACCTCAGAGCCATAACTACGAGTTCTACTGTTATGTATATTGTTACGTTCCCTCTCACTCAGTTGTTATTGATTCTCGTGAATGCAGAATCACACACACACACACACACAGCCAAGTACTATTATACATATATCAAATAAATGCAATGTGGCGTTAAATTTTCAAACAGAAGTAATTTTCGAAGAAAATTTTCATGTATAACTATATACTGCTTAAGACATCTGGTTTCTCACTTTTTCACACACCGTACCTCTAATGGATTTTGCAATTAGCCATTATTCATAAACTTTTAAACCCATTTTTATCATCCCTTGCACATAAAAATTTCTTTCTTTTCTTCACCCTCTCTCCTATTATATAAGGGAAAAATTATTATATAGGTTCCTTTTTACCTAACTTTTTCCCCCTATATATGTATATTGTATATTAAACTTTACTGAACTGGAAAAAAAGGAACCGATGAAACTGACAGTAGAAAAAAGGAAGTTCCGCTATAATATTCTGTTTTTTTTTATAACTAAAAGTGAAGAGTATTGTTTATGAAAGATTTTTTGTATTTTTTCTATTACACTGAAAAAAAAATTTATTTGATTCAAATACCGGTGTATTTGGTTATTATCAAATAAATATTTACTTGAATCAAATATTTCTTATTTGAATCAAATATATAGTATTTGAATCAAATATTTCAGTATTTGAAGCAAATACCATTTATTTGATTCAAATAAGAAATATTTGATTCAAGTAAATATTTATTTGATAATAACCAAATACACCGGTATTTGAATCAAATAAATTTTTTTTTCAGTGTAGATTTATTTATTTCCACGTATATATACTTTGACAAAAAATATTATATTTATTCTTTATTTGATACTTTTATCTACAATATTTGTTCGTGATATTGTATATCAATATGTTTTGTTAAAAATAATTGTAAATTTTTCGAAATATGATTCCGTATTTGTTTTATAAAAAGATACTTTATTAAATGCAATGAAAAAAAAATTATTTGTTTCAAATAATCGGTTACTTGACTATTATGAAATAAATATTTATTTTTTTTAACAAATATAATTATTATTTAAGTCAATTAAATGATATTTATTTTTTAGGTATAAAAAGAAACACGAAATTTGAAAACAGAAATAGTATAGAAATATAAGAAATTTTAATTTAGGTCAAAATGTTCATTTCTAGTGGAAGAAAAGTAACCAGGCGATTACTTTCTACAACCGTAACATTTACACACACACACACACACACAGTATATGAAAATCATTTCATTTTGAAGCTTGTTCTTAATCCGAGTAGACGCGAGAATGAATTTACAGCACTATTGCAATCACAATTACAGAAGGAAGTATAGCAAAACTACATGAGCGTTACTAACGTTTTCCAACCACGATATATATTCGAAGCGAAAGGACAAAAGGTAGGAAGCTGAGTGGCTAGAAACAACAAGAGCCAGAGACAAATAATCTTAGCTAATCCAACAAAGCATCCGAAAGAAAATTAAATTAACAAAAAAAAAAATACACAAGATTAATTAGAAATTATTTCCGGTTTATTTGACACAAATAAAAATTAAATATTTTATTTGATAATAGATGAATCAAATAAATTTATTTTTTCACTAAATTACTTCAATATCAGATTTATATTCTACAAATAAAAAGAAACTGATATGGATTTTCGTTGAGCTGTCGAAAAATAACGAGTCGTGGAATGATCGTTTTTGATTTATATCGAGTGCATCGTATTCAATTTTATGATTCATGGCCTTATGTTATAATGGTTCTGAAAGAGGGAGGAAAGGTGTTCAAGTGAAACATACATATATGTGAATGCAAAGTTTTCATTTCACAATATATGGGATAACATCAGAGACGATCCGAAATACCTATGTATATATATATATATATATATATATATAGTTGCCCAAGGTGCGCAATATGACAGATATTGATGCCATACATTTATAATAATTTATCTTTCGCTAGTATTAAAATTTTTGTTATCTTTAAAAAATCGATAACTTAGAAAATAAAGAATAGCTAGAGAATAAAAAAAAATCATCTACAAGTGCAAAGGTGAAAAATTTTTCTCTGAAAATATTTTTCATTATTTTAACTATAAATATCTATATATAGTGCTAGTGCTCTAAATAATAAATTACCTTCTTAATTAAGATTTTTCATTACGATGTTAATAAGATTTTTATATAAATAATTAATAATCTCTTAATTTTCGTTTTTTAAAACAAGCTACACTAATTTCTACATTATAAAATATATATAAAAAGTATAGTTGCACGCACTGAAATAAATTTCCTTAAGTAGATAAAGTCAGAGTTATAGTGTTCGTGTGATAAGAATAAATGCCATTGGTATAACAACAAAATACAAGTATAGAGAGAGAGAGAGATATAAAGTACAGAGAAAACAAGGAGATCTAAGTTCTCGAGAAAGATAACAGGGGAGTGAAGAACTACTGTCCAGTAGAGGAGATCGATTATATAGTCAGACACAAACGTCACACGATATGGGGAACCTTATTTAATCGGCATTTTAAATATTTTCCCTCAAAAAAAAAACTACAAAAGGAAAACAATAATTATTATTTAATTTAAACTAAATAACAATTGGTATACAAAAGTTCCTAATTATTTTTTATTTTTAAAAAATGAACCAATAGATATAATTATTTTCTTTCGTTTTTTTTTTAACTTTGCAAAATTAGAGTATTTTTAATACCTGATATTTGTCTTTTATGGGGATTTAGGATTCAAAATTGAGAGGGAGAAGATGAGCGAGATTTAAGAAAACTTTTTCGAAATCGATGTATTCACGCATTAAACCTTTAAGTAATGTTGCAAGTTTCAATTTACATTTCCAATAACTTGGTTTCTACCCCCCCCCCCCCTCTCTCTCTTTTCCTCTCTGAGAGATTTGTGTAAAGTTATATAAGTGTGTATCGTCGGCAACGTCCATTGGACCATTGCCAACTCCCATGTTCGATGATTTCGTATTAAAGTTTCAATGTAGTTTTACGCGATATTACTTGCTGTGTAAGGTCGTGTGCAGAAAGTGAGAGAGAGTGAGAGAGAAACGAGAGGAAAGAAAAAAAGAAGAGCTGACGAACCAAAAGAAGAAAAATATGAGGAAAAAGCTAATAGACTAGACAAGAAGCCTCTTGCATATTTTTATTTGACACAATAGATGGCCCCAGTCTTTTATTCGTTGCTCTTTCTGCCCTTACAAGAAGAGAAAGAGAGAGTATACCTTCAGTCTGTGTGAGTCGACAAAAATGTAATAACCAAGAAGCAGAAGGCACTACATTAAAATGAATATTTCAAAACTCTTTTCAAAAAAAAGAGAGAGAGAAAAAGAAGAATAAGCTATCGCGTGTAAATTTTAAATATTTTTGAAACTTAATAATTGAAATTTTACATAAGGAAACTTTTATAAAATGGCCAAATTCTAAAATCTTTATGTAGTTCATTAATTTTTAAGAATATGTTTTAATAACTTTTTTTAAATTTTATGTAAAAATTTTAATACATTCGAAAACGAATTAATAATTCATTAATAAAGAACCCAATTTGAAATTAATCTTAGTAAGTAATATTTAAGAATTATTAAATATTAACAAGTAATACTTTTATAATAAATTAATTATCTTTTAATTGTAATTTACTGCGTTAATTATTAGTATTTATATACAGTTAAATTTTCATGAAATAATAAACGTTTTCTAATGCATTCATTTTTTAAATTGAAAATTAATAAAAACAAACTAATATAAATAATATAATTAGTAATTATTAATAAGACCGAATTAGCCGCTACTTTCTAGCAGTAATTTATTTAATTTATTCATTCCGCCATTAAAAAAATAAATAATTTCAATCTTCAAAAATTTCACATAATATTTATATCTAAAATTCATACCTCAAAAGTATTTTGACTATATCTTTTCAGAATTATTTAATAAAAGTCGCGGCTAATTTCAGTTTAATTAAAATATAAATATTATATTTAAAAAAAAAAACAAAACTCACTGTTTTCGAAGTCCAAGAAAAGAGATCCAATTCGTATATTTAATCCTTCAGGTTGAACAAAAAACAAAACACTATCGAATCACTGGTCAACACTCGGAATCACTGTAATAATAGAAATACATTTGTGAAAGATCTATATTGAAATAATTCACATTTACTATAATCGTTTCTTAACAGCAATTATAAAAAAAAAAAAAAAGAAAGAAAAACCATTTTTTGCCATTTTTACCTTTTTGCACAAAAAAAAATGACGTAAGGATTTCCACCGATATGTTTGTTGCTACCCTATTCGCATATATATGGGATGAATGCTAAAACACCGCACAAGAAAAATGACTCATCTATATTGAAAAATCTAACTTTTGCAAAACACCAAAAAAAAAAAAAAACCCCACACACGTTATTTCCAAACACGACCGGAAAAGAGCACTTATGGCTAAACACTTCCGGTCTTACCGAACTTTCAACGAGAATCCATCTCTCAGGATTTAAATCGTTTTTCAGTCTAACTGAGGTTTTCCTCCTCCGTCTGACCTCGTTTCACCCGTCGGAACATCTTCGTTTTTCATCCAAATGACTCGCCTCAAGAGCGCATCCGACATTACGCTCTGACATAAAACACGAAAGCTCAAAACACAAGCTTCTTCTTGTTCTACCTCTCATCCGGCACACTTGACAAGAGAGAGAAGATGACACTCTTGAAAATCACAGGTGAAATGGACGAAACGAGGTTAACGACTTTCGAGGTTAACAACACCAATTCGAATCTTTTTTTTTTCTACAATTGTATAATTCTATAATACTTTTTTTTCCCACTTGAATCTCACTCATCTACTATTTATCCATATATCAAGATAAAAAAAACTGACTTTGTTCACACCATCCAAAAACCAGCTGACTCGTTTTTTCACATCGAGGTTACGAGGTGGAAAACAGCCTCCGCCATTAGCCTACTTTCCTCTCTGACATCGAGAAATGAACTCACCCTTGAAAATTAGGTTATACTTCATCATTCCAATCTGACAGCAATTGGAACCCATTCTAGGAGTTTCTTACAAAAAAAAAAAAAAAAGCATCACCACTTTAATATAGATAGAAAAGTTCGTTCTCTGGAATAACCTCGCGCGCACCCAAAATGGATGACGACCCTCCCGCGACTTCCTCTCTAAAAATGCTCGATTTTCTTTCCTCTCACCAAGACTTTATCAATGTGAGAATAAACAATTTTTCACATTCACCACAAAATATATAATATAAATTCAACGAAAATAAAGAATTCAAGTTTCATTTCTTATGGGAATAAGTTCAATTAGGATCCGCCTCTTTGAAGACAACAAGATACACACGACCCTCACTCTCGAGGGGTCACAACGAAACAAACGAATTGGTTAGAGTTCTTTCAATACACTGAATAAATCACACGCGCGTACAATCAATATCGAATATCACGAATCACATCACGACAAAGTAAATTTCCTTGTAAAATCGCGAACTTCTCTCGTTGATAAATCGGTATTCGCGGGCGAGAGCGAAACAAGGGTGGACCGAATTAACTGAACACGACATCTGGTGTTCAAGACACTAAATTCATGTTTTAGCCAACAATTTTTTTTAGCAAGATTTTATTCTACAAATGAATATTTCCAATGGCTTTCTTACACTTTTTTTTTTATTATTATTATTAAAAACAAAAATTTATACGAACGATCAAAGTTTCAGGGTTTGCTGGCACTTTGACGATAAATACTGTTGTTTTTTCACATGAGAAAAGACATATTTTCGCGGCTGCGCGATTAAAACTAAATTGTGCGCAGGGTTAATGCGCATCCACTTCATCAGTGGAAGGGGTGCGTTCAATTGTTAGGGGATGAGGGTGACGACCGAGCAACAACCAGCAAGTGCAAATGTACTAAAGTTCCAAGCTCTTATACAGTAGCGACATCCCTACGACTTTCAATGAAACCTCCTCTCTTAATGATAAACTACTTTATCATTGTAGGTCGGTAAAAAAGATTTCATTATCGAAAAAATTAATACGTTAGCATCAACCCAAATTGTTTGTAGCAATCTATAATGTGTTTATTAAGCGTCCACTGAGTCTGTTTACACAATTTTTCATTATTTCCAAAGAATTTTGCAATAATAAAAGGATTGTTAAAAAATATTCAAAAAGCCCTAATTCGAATGTTATAAATATTATTAAATTATATCAATTCGTAAGTACTTTTATTACAATATTTCCTCTATCAATTTTCCTAACCTCAAATTATATATATATATATATATATAAATTTTTTATTTTCTGTAATAATTTAATAATAAAACTATTTTACTATTTAATTCACATTGATACTATTAAAAATCTAATTTTTCAAATTGTCACTATTTTTATAATTAAGCCACGTTCGTTAAAATTGCAAGGATAAACAAGAAACCAACTATGTACAAACATTGAAATTAAATAATATTTTTATTAATATTTTTCAGAATCATGGGCGTTCGTTGTATAGTTGAAAATTGTAAAACCTTTATTAATTTGGAATCAAAAGGTCCTCAAAGTAAACGAAATAATTATTATCCTTTTCCAAAAGATGCAAAGATGAGGCAAATATGGTTAAAAAAATGCGGGAAAAAAGATCCAATTGATTATGAACATTCTTATGTGTGTGTAAAACATTTCAAAGAAGATGATTTTGAACGTAATCTTAGAAGTGAATTATTGGATTTACCAGTAAAGAAAAAATTAAAATCTGATGGTAAGTTGAAATAAATAATTCAATCTGTAACCTAAATTTTTGTGATGAAAAATTAATTTTTTTTAAATTTTAATTAATTTAATGAAAAAAGTAAAAATTATTTATTATTATTGACTTATGTGAAACGATTTTTTAAAATATTAATTTGAATGTAAATTGTGTATAAAATTTAAAAATATTTTTAATTAACAATATAAATAATAGTAAAATTTTATTTTCCAGCAATACCGTCTTTAAATTTGAATGATAATGAAAAAGAAGAGGATTCAGAGAGAAATTCTGGTCGAAAGCAACGTTACGAAGAGCGAGAACGAAAAAAAGAAGATGATTCGCCTAAAAAAAATAAACCTATAAAACGACCTGTCGATGTTGATTTAACATCATCACCAGTTAGAAAAGAAAGTTCGCCACTACCAAAAAAATTAAAATCTTTAACAAAAGACAATTCAAAAATGTCGAGTAAAGAAACTCAAGACAAATTAGATGAAATTGATGCAGCGGAACTTCAAAAACTTCTAAATATTATTTTAGAAAGGATACAATGTTTAGAACAAGAATTAGAGGGACTTAATCATATCATGGAGGATATAAAAAATCGAATTGAAAAAATGCAAAATAGGCATTAAGAAACGATTATAGTTATTTGTTCAATAGATGGACACATGTAAATATATTTTAAGAAATTATATGTTTAAAAATTCAAAAAATATTAGCTTTGGTCTCATAATGTAATAACTTAAATTTCTCAATAATTTTTATGTTTTGTTTCTATTTCTGCAAAAATACAGAATTACACAATAATCCATTAAAATAAAAATTGTAAACTTTAAGTTAAAATATTGTTATGTATATTACTATAAATAATGAAAACTTAAGATTTTTTATAATTATTAGCCAAAAATTTTATACCTTAATTACAAATTTTTATTTTCATTGATTTTTCCAAAAAGATTAATTTTATCACTTCAATTTTTTTATCTTTTATTTACTTGTTAGAAATTTATTCATAGAAATTAATAAAAATAAAAAATTTAAATATATTCATTATTGTATTTAGTACTCACCAATTATCTGGATTTTCTGATCAAAAAGATAAAAACAGCTTCAAAACTACATCTTGGAAACGGCATACTTTTTTGTATACGTTGATCCTGAAAATAAATTTAAAGATTATATAAATGAAAATTAATTAAAAACATTTTACAAAACACGGATATCACTTTTAATATTTAAAGTAAAATATTTTGAAATTAATAAACGAAATAATATAAAATTAAACTTATTTATTTTCAATTATACGAATCTTATTGTTTTACTAATTCTACTTTAAATTGTGGACAAAAGTTATGACGATTAGAGAATTGCAATTTTTCGGTGATGCTTTTGTCAAAATCAAACTTGAAATGTTCAAATCTTTTATGTTTACAACTTTAAATTTTGATCAATTAATAAATCTTTGATTAAAGCAGCTTAATTAGATAAAATATGTCATACAATTTGGACCAATGAAAAAGGTTCATTTTGGTTTATCTTCCCTGCCGGTTGATATTTTTGCAGATATTCATTTTACCGATATATATATATATATATATATATATATATATAGAAAGAGAGAATTATTACATTCATATGATTATATGTACTACGGCAAGTACGTTGGTAATATAAAAATCTACGCAAAATTATTACCTGGTATACAGGATAACGTCACATTTAATACTCTTATAAAGAACTTCAAAGAATAATTACAACTTAAAATTTCCTTTGCTCATCTGATTATGAACGAAATTATCCCAACATTTTTTTTAATTAAGATAAACTAAATTAATCGACTAATTTTAAATTACATAATTAAGTTTAATATATTATTCATAGTACCCATACAGTAATATAGGTTTTAATTCAGTTTAAAATATTATTCATAGTACCCATATAATAATATAGGTTTTTAATTAAGTTTAATATATTATTCATGTTACCTATATAATAATATAGATTTTCATTCAAATAAACAAAAATAAATTAATTAACCTACTCTGTTTAACAATATCTAATTATTCAATGCTATTAATTTGGACAGAGAAAGTCTACATAACAATGTAATTATAATTAAAAAAAAAAGTTTTGAGGTTGTGGTCACTTCAAATAAATAAATATATAATTTTGAAGAAATAGTAATATCCTTAGAAAAGAAATACCTAATATATTTTATTAATTATAAATATTGTATATCTGCATCGTAAAAAAGAAAACCATAATATATTTTATTAATTATAAATATTGTTTACCTGCATCGTTAAACTTTTTGGTTATAAAAGGAATTATTTTTCTTTTGTCCTTGAATACTCCTATTGTACTGCTGAGAAGTGGGGGAAATCGATGATTCCTAAATAAAAATTTATTTAAAAAAATTTGTCCAAGCGACACAGATGTTGCCTTCGTAACGCCCAAAATGGAACTGACCTTGCGCGCTAGGGAGTCCAGTTTTTATACTTTGAGCTCTGTCTGCTCTGCGCGCTGATTGGTGGGGCATCTTGAGGCCTAGCTAGACGCTGATTGGCGGGGCGCTCTAGCTGTCGACGTCTATAAATATTGGTCGTTTTACTCCCACCACTTCAGTGAGCAGTTGGAACTTCAGGACGCAACATCTGTGCAGCTTAGAAAAAAATATTTTTTAGCTTTTATTCGTTATTGGAAATGGATAACTCTACACCCTATGTTGAAGAAATAATTATCGCAAACACATATTGCTTTTTCTCTTTTTACAACAACATCATTATATATTCAACCAAAAAGAAGAAGAGAAGAAAGAAGAAATATATATAAAATATTTAATTATCCAGTTATAGAAAATCAAATGGATTGATTATGTCTAGTAGTGAGGATACAGTAAATCTTCGAAATATGTAATCTCGGTAGACAGGACATTCAGAAACTTCCCTCTCCCCAACTTTTGTGCGTACTAATCCTTTATGCACAAAAGAATTTACCACAAATTGGTAATTCAGGTGTTCAGGGCATATATAACATTGATTTCCATCGTATATATATATGCGTCGCCGTCGGTAAAATTAATTTCTTGCGTCGAACATTTTGTGTTACGCAGGGCTGCCAACCTATAGAAATAAAAACCTAACAACTTTCTTACTTTCCTGACAACATGACAGTGGAGATGTTGAACTAATGTTTTAATTGCATTATAATTATTTTTATGGTTTTATTTATCATATTCTTTTCTTAATTTTATTATATCAGTTATTAATAACTTAACTTCTAATATTGTAAGGTTATTAAAATTATTTTTATCTTATTTTTTTGCGTTTAAAATAATTCGTTTTTGAATTTTGCGTCACTATGCCATCTAGTAGTAGCAATATGTAATCAAGTGATTTGCGCAGGTTAAAACAAGTTTTTGCGCGCACTTATAGGGGTCATTGCGCGGTTAAACACTTTGCAAAGAACGTTTGCCGGTTAAAGAAGGAAAAGCTTACAGCTTACTTTTCATACTTAAGTATCATCAATTTGCTGGAGTCTTTCAATTGGTTTAGTCTTCTTTAAAGATCAACAAGAAAGCTTAGAACTCTTCAGTAATTACGTCGAAGTCGGAGGAAATCCAATTATCTAATTCTTAAGAGTCTTTTTTTGGAGGGAATTTAACGGTAAGTTCTTTATAATATTCATAGACAATGCTTTGTAATTTATTTTAAAATTAAATTTTTACTTATAACTTATAAGAAACCTGTTCAAAGTGTTTAATAATGTTAATTGCAAATTGACGCTTAAATTGCATTTTGGTTTGTCGACATGTTCAACATTTAATCACGTTTACTTGATTTTTGCAATAAATTACTCTAAATAAAAATATAAAATCGTTGTGTATTATTTGAAGAAAGATATTTCACATTATTTTCTAGTTTAAATCATTTTTGTAACTTGATATTTTTAATGAAAAATTGGTATAATCGTCAAAATGTGGCTGTTAATTTTATAGGTTAGATTCTCTAATCAAAAGCGGGAAATTCGAATTTAAAATTTGTATAATAGTGTTAAGAATTTTTAATTCTTATTTTTGTAATAGTTGAATGATTTTTTTTAATTCTTTTAAATACAAAAATAATTATTTGTTTAATTTTTAAATTTAATTGAAGACAATAAAGCAATTTAAATTAAAGGTAAAGAAAATATATTAGAGGTAAAATATATTTATTTTGAATATCTGAGAGGTTTAATAATAAACAGTAAATGTATTTTTATTTTCGATTTCAACTGTAATATTATTCTTAGGCATTTTGAATTTCACAAATATTATTTAGTAGAAAAGCTTTTTTGCGATTACTAGTATAGAACTAATTAATCAGTCTAATTAAAAGCACAAGGCTCTTTGTTTTTTTTCACAAATTGTTTGAAGCTTAAAATAATTTACATTATAAATATAGTCATTCATAAAAAAAAATGTTTATATATAATATGAAAAATTTTGCAATCTTTAATAAACTTTAAATATTCTTATTTATATAGTAATACGTAATATTTACATAAATCACAATATTATGTTTTCACTTTGTAGCATTCATGAAAGAATACTTTGTGTGCTAATTGAAAATTTACAGACGCAATTATTTAAGAACTTACAATATTCAAAATTTGTGCTCATAAAAATAGATTTTCACATTATTATCACAAAGCTTCTGTTTTTTTTTATAAATATGCAAATAAGTTGCTAAAAAATATTTTTAGATTTTTTTTTTTGTAGAAAAGTGTATATATAAAGTGCAGAAGTATTTTGAAAATATTCACAGCATTTTTCATTTATTGTAACTAAATGTAAATAAAATATTTTTTGAACCTCGTTAAATTTTAGAGAATATTTTTTCAATTTAGAATTTTTGTAAGATAAAAATGATATGTTAATTGTTATTTATAGATGTATCTTAAATATTTTGGCAAAAGAAAATATTCATTGAGATGAGGATTAATTGAAATTATGTTGTTTCAATTTTAAATAAGAATAAATATTTTTTCTTTGCTACGCAAACATAACTGATATTGGACTGAATCTCATGATTTTGCTGAGTAAAATCCAGGCAACAGATGCAAGAGAACAAAGAGTCATTCCACCCCATCCAAAATCCATACTCCATGAGGTTCTAAATAATCTCGCATTTAGAATATTTCGCGGTACAGGCCCACCTATTACTCCATCCTCTGGACCATCGAAAATTCTCGGATTTCGATCTTGAGCTCTCTTACAATAAATTATTGTCAATGTAAAGAGTGCAAAAGTGGCTGTGAAAAATTTTAATTCTAATTAAATTCATATCTGGAATAATAATCAAATTATTTATTTAGATTAATTTAAATTATTTACTTCTCAATTTCTCAAATTTCAAAACAATTTTTTTTCTCACATACAAGAGTTGTGAGAAAACATTATCATTTCCAAAAGGTCAAATTTGTTTTATCAAAACGAACGTTATTAAATTTTGTAAAATCATAACAATACTTATCTTTGAAAGTTAGTATATTATATTATTTTGCTTTTGAAAATTTTAATATTAGATTTTATTTCTTATTAATCTCCAAATTAATTTCCAAATTATATTAATTAATATAATTAAAAATAATTTGATATAAACTAAAATGTAACTTACCAGCTAAAAGATACATTACACCTGTAATAAGAACAGCTGATATTTGATGTCTACACAATCCAAATGATCCAACCAAAACAGCACTGCCAAGAATTATCATGCAAACCAATGAACAGGAAATGCTTAAATTTTGCATGCCTAAAATTTTTAAACAATTTAAAAATCATTTAATATTTTAATTATTATTTTAATTTTTTTTTTATATAATTTTAATTATTCTTATAAATATATAAGTATTTTTAATTAATGATAGTTTTAAACTTTTTTTTCTTTTTTCATAAAAATTGCAAAAAAATAATAATAATGAAACATGTCATTTAAAAAAGTAAAATCAATACTGTAAACAACATCTGACATTGAAATTTATGTGAAATCAATAGTTTGTAGAATAGGATTTAAACAACTGTTTATTATATCTACTCTCTATTAATCCCAATAAAGTTTCAGCCTTCACTATATAATATGGAAAGTCATTAAAAACTATTTAAATTGGATCTATTTTTACATTTTCAATTTACTCTCTAAATAGCTGTTTCTCATTAACAAAATAATGTCTATATAGTCTGCTAAAAATGTACCAGGATTTGAACTACTTTGCAAAAAAAAAAAAAAAGTTTGTCATTCTATTTGAAACTTTTCTCGGCATTTTTTTTCTTGCTTCTCCAAGAAGAAATTTTCAATTTTCTACTTGACTTATTCTCAGAGACTTTAATTTTTTTTTCTTGGATAAGAAACAGCAAATCTTTCTGTCTGAAATCTCGTTTTTCTAAGAAAGTTAAAATTGAAAAAAAAGATAGAGTGTTATAATTTTTTCCATATTTTTTTTTAACTTACGATTTTGCCAAAGAGCTCTCATTTCTTCATGAGCTTCATCAGGATATAAGTAATTAATACATCTCTCTTGAGGAAAACCTATTTCTTCTAAAAGATGAATTTCCTCATCTGGAAAAAAAATATATATATGTGTGGTTGCAAATCATGACGTGCGAGTAATAAATTTCTTTCGCGATGAATGTGGAAATTATCAAGTCATAAGCGAACATTTTGTGAGAAGTAAATTCTCGACAATTGGGTAATAATAAATCTTACTTGGGTGAAAAATCGATCGAAGATAGAGTTCACTAGGTCTAGGTTAAAATGAACACTTTGTAAACTTCTCATTTATCATTTCGTCCTTTAAAAAAAAAAAATCCCATTTCTCATTTTATCCGATTGGTAATTCTTCACGTCTCAATTCTTTTTTTCTTAAAATGGTACTTTTTATTATTCCCACATCTGAATTAATTTACAGAACAATTTTATTTCAAAATTTATTTTTTAAAATAATTTTCTAAAAAACAATTATGTAGTTTTTTAAAAATCTTTTTAATTTGTATTTACTATAGTGTAATTTTGATTTATTTAAAATTAAATTTTCATTTTATATCTATTTTAGGAAAATATAATAAGATTTAAAATTTGATTTATAATTCGTGCGTGTAAATTTGTTGATATTAAAATAGAATTAATCATATACAATACATTGTACGAAAGCTTCGAAGGATGGAAATTAATTTCGATTTTATGTCCAAAGTTGATATATTCTTAAAAGGACGGGCGATAAAGTCATAATTACTTTATTAGTTTAATAATTTATTTTTATCACCAATGAAATTTCATACTGTTTGCGATCTATTTTAAGGGGATTAAAAAATAGTAAATAATCTCCGTTTTTATCAAAAAAATAATAATTCTTTAAAATTTGAAATTGCAGTAAAATTAGAGAGATTAAAATTCAAAAACAATCTACATTTTTATCAAGAATTTCTTTCATTATAAATTTTTTTTTTTTTTTTTACTTTTAATTGATTTGCATAAGTCATAAAGGATTTGATTTGGTCCATATAGTTGTTGTGTGCACATAATTTTAAACTATTGTAGAAATGCTAATAGGTAATAACTGGTGCTTGGCGTGATAAAGGACCATAATATTTGCCTTTGAATACTAAAACCTTTAAAAACTAATTCAACAAAACTTGTCTGCTTTATATTTCAAATTTTAATTTTTTCAATTTTTTATTTTTAACTTTAATATAGGCATTAATTTTCTTTAATTTTTATAATTATTACTTTTTTTAAATTTTAATGTTGTATTTTATTTTCATTTATAAATTTAAACAAGAAAGAAATTTTAGTTATTCTTTAAATTTTAAAGAAAGAAGAGAAAAATTGAATGAAATTGAAAAGATAAATTATATCACGTTTTCTATTACCTTTGACACATATTTTCCAGAAATGTGCATTAAAAAAAAAAAAAAAAAAAAAAAAGAATTCTCTTTCACACAATATTTGCTTTTGAATATGTTCATTCGACCTAGTTTAAAGACACTTTTGAAATACTAATGATGCACCACGAAACGTTATAAGCAAATCAAAAAACTGATCAAAGGATAATTTATAAGTTTTTTTGACTTTTTTTCTTAGAGACGAAAAGGGAGTTTTTTTTTAATTTTATGTTTAATTTTCAAAATACGTTTAAAGAAAATTAAAAATTAAATTAAAAAATATATATAAAAAAAAATTAAACATCTTTTTTATTACTAAAAAAATAAAGTCGAAAAAGATTATTGTAGAATTCATAATGGACCAAACATTAGAGTCATCTTTTTCTATATGTAACAGATATATTTCTGGCATCGATTTTCCATTAATCTTTAATCTATTCTTCCACGAAATTGGACTATAAAAAGTACCATTTGTATTTTATTACAATCTAAAACCCATTTTATGATTAGCTTTAAAACCGAACGTAATTTAATTTTATAAATTGTAAAAGTTTTTTTTTCTATTTAAATTTGTTTCATTTAATTCTATATTTAATTTTTATTTTCAGACGAGAAAAAAAGTCTTGGCTATTGTTTAAAAAAAAAAAATTAATTTCTCAAGGGAAAAAAAGACAGAGGATTACGTAATTTAAAGCATGTGCTCTTCGTAATTTAGATTTTAATCATTTGGTCGATATTGCGCTGTCAGAGTCAAGGCGCTTAAGAAATTCTTCCTGAGGTTCTGGATTAAGCTCTACACACTTACAGACTTTAAAAGCTTTTAACATTGTATGCGAATTCCCTTAACCTTCCCCAGAAATTGAGGTGAAAGCCAGAAATGAACTTTTGAACCTGAACTTTGAAACTAACTCATTTAGAATTAGAAATTTATAAAAATTTTAGACAAAAAAATTCCTGAAATTAAAATATGTAAAAAAAATCATTTTTTGTTCGTATTCTTTTTGCAAATAATTAAAAAAAAAAACTTACCGGTCAGTGATACACACAATGTCCAAATTCCACCGTGCATTGGAACCAAAAATGCGTGCTTTTTTTGAAATCGATGAAAACTTCCATGAGCAGGCAATGATTCAAGCATGGCAACTTTACCATCCAAATACCACGTGGGGTTGATATTTGCCTGTAATAATGCCTCTCTATTCCATTCAACTTCTTCCCAATGATCAGACATAATTGCCGTACATAACATTCCAGTTGCTGAAAATTAATTTCATATTTTTCACTCTTTTTTTTTTTTTGGTAACTAAAAAATATTTCTTTTAAAAGTTTTCATTAAGTTTTTTTTAATTAAAAAATCGAGACACAATTACCTGCTAATGTAAGAGTTAGAGTACAAAAGAGAAAAATAAGACGTGGTGCAGGACCCCTGGGTACACGTGAAATCTCCATTTCCTAAAATGGTACCCAGGCGTCTATATCTATTACACCTGTGTATTCGAAATTTACTTCGCAGAACAAATTTCAAATGTACACTAAACTCCATATGAACGGGGAGTTCGCCGCCCCGTACTGGTACCATGACGCCCTCTGCGTCGCGACGACGCTCTCTGAATCGATGGAAATATCCTCACCCAATTGGTACCCGTACCACCCTTCTGGGATGCTGTAGATAATACAAGAAAAAAAAAATACACAACTTTTTTTTGTTCTCGATTCTTTCCATTTTCTTTCACTCTAATATTTTTTGAAACTCTTCCAAAAAGTCTTGTATCTCTCACAATTTATATTCCTCAAACGGAAGTGAATTCATTTTCGAAAAGGAACCATAAAAAATTTGCATTAATTATAATAATTTTCAATGAAGCTCATAAATGTTCTCCAATTGATTAAATTATATAATCAATTTTTTATTACTTCATTAAAAATTAATTTTTCAAATTATGTTATTTTAATTTAATTTTTCTAAAAATGTTAAAATTATACATTTTTTCGCAGATGGCTGACGCAACAGAAAATACACCTCTCGATGCTGCATCAGCTTTATCTCTTGGAAAACGTCATCTTTTGGTGTGCGACTATAATAACGCGGTAAATACATTGGTTCAAGCTTGCGAGCTATTGGTCAAAGATCATGGAGATCGTGCCGATGAATTAGCAGAGCCATATTTACTTTATGGTCGTGCACTTCTTGGACTCGCGCGTGAAGAAAGTAATGTATTGGGTGCCGGTGTACCTGGAAATGATTCCGACGAGGAGGAAGACGTTGACGACGATGAAGAGGGCGAAGACGAGAAAAGCGATGATAAAGACTCTAATGATGAGAAAAGCGAAGTAGAAAAAGAAGACAAAACAAAAGTTAATGACGACGAAAAGGACAAAAATACCGACAATAAAGACACTAAAGTCACTGATAAAAAAAAAGATGAAAACAAAGTTGAAGAAACTAAAGACAAAACAGAAGTTGCTGAAAGTAAAGAAGAAAAAAAAGAAATCACTGAAAGTAAAGATAAAATCAAAGATAAAATGGAAATTACCGAAAATGAGGACAAAAAAGTTACAAAAACTGAAGATAAAGATAAAATGGAAATTAATGAAGACGACAAAAAAGAAAGTACCAAGAAGGAGGAAAAGAATGAAGAAAAAGATAAAAACGAAATAAAGGAAGTTACCGAAGACAAGGAGAAAAACGATGTCGATAAAACGAAAGAGAAAAGTGAAGATGCTGCAAAGTCAAAAGATGAAACTGCCGAAAAGAAAGAACCAGAAGCTAAATCTAAGGAAGATAATAAAACAGACGAGCAAAAAGTGGAGGAATCGAAAAAGGAGGCAGAAAAAACTTCCGATGATTCGACAAAGAAAGTAGAAGACAAAGAAGTGAAACCCGTAGAAAGTAAAACACCAACAGATGAAGCTATTCCCGGTTCCAGTAAGATGACAAATGGTGAATCATCTGCTGAAAATAATAGTATGATCGAAAATGGAGAAGACGACGACGAAATTGATAATCTACAGGTAATTATTTCAGTTAATTAAAATTCCCTTTAGTGTTTTTAAATATTTGCAAAATTGTATTTAAAAAAATTAACTAAAAATAAACCCAATAATATTAGTTCTGAAAACAATATTTTTCAAAAAAAAAAAAATAAATTTTATTTAGTTTCTTCATTTATCCCCACAATATAAATATTTAATATTTTGTTTCCTATTAAAATTTGAAAATTTATTTTATCTTGTTTTCAAACACTATACCAATTGTATAAACAAAAAGCTGATATGATACTTGAAATCTCTAATCTAAACACTGGCGAAAATAATTTTAAAACAATTTACAAATTGTATAATTTAAATAATAATAACTAAAAATAAATTAATTATTGCTTCAATGAATAATAATTTTTATTTTTACTAAATTCTATTGAATACTTAATTTAAACAATATAATTATTAATTTTCATTAATAATTCTTAATAAAATTACAGGTCGCTTGGGAAGTGCTCGATCTTGCCAAATTAATAATTCTAAAACGAGGACCATCGGCCTGGAAATTATTGGCGGAAGCTCACAGATTACTTGGGGAGGTAGCAATTGAGGGTGGAAATGCAGTTGGCGCTATGACCGATTTTGAAGCGTGTTTAGATTTATTACAAAAAATCGAACCCTGTGAACCGCGAGCAATTGCCGAAATTTACTATCAACTTGGTTTGGCTTACGCTTATACAAATGAATTTGACGTAAGTATTGAAAAATTCCAAGAAGCCAGTTCAATCCTCGAGGCGAGAATCAAGGAACTTGAACAAATCACTGAACCACCAAAATGTGATGATCCATTCTACAGTGTCGAAGGTGAAATAAAAGAACTCAAAGAATTATTACCTGAAATTGGTGAGAAAATATCCGATATGAAAGACGCAAAACAAGAAGCGTGCAAACGAATTATTGAAAATATTCGCGAAAAATCGGCTGCTGGCAGTTGTTCAAATGGTGGCGCGAGTACAAGTGCTGTGAATGGTGGTGCATCATCGTCAACATCGGGATCATCGTCGTCTGGCCTTTCAAAGAAATCTGTTAACGATATTTCTCATCTTATTCGTAAAAAACGTAAACAAGAAGAAGATGTCGATGTTGAAAGTTCACCATGTAAGAAACCCTCCACAGTAGAATAATTTCCTTTTCTATATATATGTTTTTTTTAAATGAAAATATAAAATACAAAACGTGTTTTGTATAGAGATTCCATACCTCAAGTTTTTTACGCAATCGTTTTTCTACTGTTTTTTTTTTTTGAGATATTTCATTCTTTTTTCAAACGAAACAACATGAGACACTAATGATGTCTCATCGCTATTTTTTTAATTTTTAATATAATATCGTGATAAGTCCTTAGCCTTAATGTTTTTTTATACTCGATTATAACTATTCTTTTTATTTATTGTTCAACGTTCTAGTTCAGCACAAAGTGTGATTATTTTTCGGATTTTTTTTTCTTTATAAGAAACGCTGTACTATATCCTGGATATGTAAAACGTTGTAAAACCTCTAAAGGCTGATAATAAAATAATGTTTGTTCTTTTCTAAATTTATTTTATTTATTTATTCAACACGGTCTACTTGTCGAGAAACAAATTAATTCTATAATTAATATTTTTCTCTGAGTGCAATTTTTTAAATTACAATCTACCAGTATTGTTATAATTTTTTAATAACAATTTTTTCATTTTGGACGGAATAATTCTTAAACTAATGCAATCATCACACATCATTGGACGGATTAGATTTTGTAGGAGACGCCAGAAAAATTCAGAATTTTAAATTCGGAAATTTTTCTAGCATTCCAATTTCTTTTGTTCCCTGAAGTAAACCAGAGGTAGCGAGGCTATTCAGTGCTCAAATTACTCTAAAAAAAAATGTTAAATTCTATAAATACCTATATATTTATGAGATCAAAAGTGAAATATGAACAAACTGGCATTTTTCTTAATCGCCAAGTAGCTCTTCAATTCCATCATCTTTATCTGAATTGTCCTCGGGTTCGACATTTATTTTATAGCCAAGTGCTTCCAATAAATTAACATTATAATAATAGCTCAAATTAATTCCAGGAACGAGACGTTTTAATTCTTCAACTGTTGCGCGTGCTTTATCCATTTTTCCAATATCCGCAAAATGTTGAGTTATAGTCGCAAATAAATCACCACGACGAACTGATTGCTCTAAATCAGCTCCTTTTGTATCCAACAAATGTCGAACTTGATTCATCGCTGTTTCCGTATCGCCTCGATCAAATAATCTAAAAGGAAAAATTTTATTTTCACAACAAAATTTAAAAAATAACTTTTATAAAACCTTACCTTTTAATGTCCAAATATCTTTTTACTGTTGACATTCTTCCATTGACAACATCAATAGCTCTACGATGAACTTCCGAATCTCTGGGATCAACAACTTTTGCAAGACACTTACTCGCTTGATTAAGAGCATCTAATGCTTTTTCATAATTTTGAAATTCATCAATTTCAACTTGTGCACAAGCAACATAAAAATTCGCCAACAAATCCATTGCTTTGCCTTTCGAATAAAAATTGATAATATTTCTCAATACTTCCGGTTGATTTTGCCAATCGAGTGATTGAAGATAATTTCCAGCCATAATATAAATCTCTCTTTGTCGCGAGACTTGTGCGAAAAAACAAATTTTTTCCGTATCACCTGATTTTAATAATGCCTTCATTGCTCTTAATTTATTACCAGCTTGGGTAAATTTTTTCGTTGCAAGATGATAATTTCCCTGATGAAATGCAATTTCGCCAATTCTTTCTAAACTCGATATTCTCAATCGTTCACGTTCTAAATCTTTTTCTACTTTTTCGACTGTCATTTTTTCCGCTAAATCTTCAGTCAGTGTTATGTTATGCTCCTGAATCAATTGTAATGCTTCAATGTAATTTTTACCCGTCGCAAGAAGATCAACAGCTTTTTCAATTTGTTCATTTTGAACAAAATAATCCGCACATTTTTGTATTAACGCTGGATCTGAATCGGCATTCACGTCCATTGTGATTATTTGCAATGCATCATATTGTTGTGTTTTAAATGCAAGATCCATAGCTTTTCGTAGAAGGCCCGATTTATGATAGAGTAACACCGCCTTGTCGGGTTGATCGTTATCTTCATAATATTTTGCCACGTCAATTTGCGATTGACGAGGCGCTAACATTGCCAATGGCCACAATTCTTCTATCATTTCGTGCTCCTGGAAAAATAATTTTAAAAAAATAAAAAAACAATTATGATAAATTGTAATTAAAGAGAGAGAATTAAGTACCTTGTATAATCGAATGGCATTTGTGTAAGCTTTAGCCATTGAATAAAAATGAACCGCTTGTGAGACATTATTTTTCGATTCATAGTGCGCTGCTAAATGATATGCAGAAGCTGCGTGATTTGTTCTCATAACCAGTTCGCAGGCTTCGTCTTCTCGATTAAGAAAACATAATAATCTCGTCATTGACAAAGTATCTTGAGCAACTTCATATAAACGTAAAGCACCTTCCATATCGCCTGTTGATTCCGTATACTGCGCATGCCAATTTTTTATATCTCTGAAAAATATTTTCTTTGAAATTTTTGTTTTTTCTTTTGTAAAAGGAAAAATATAAAATTCTAAACTCACTGATCCTCGGAAGTATTCAAATAAGTTGCTAGTTCTCTCGGCTTGAGTAAAAGCATTCTAGGCACTTCGAATCTATGGCAATCAGCTTTCGTATAATTTTCTATGGCCTCTGTTATTTTCCCCTGTCGTTCCAATGCTTTCGCATAATTATAATAACATGTTTTTTCACGAATTTTATTTTCACTCGAAGCTAAAGCAAGGGATTCCTTAAATTTATTACGAGCCTCCAGTAATGATCCAATTAAATCCAATCTCTTCGCTTCTCGAAAAAGACGTTCTGCATCATTCTAAAAAAACGAAAAATGTTAATAAAAAAAAAAATATTAATAAAGAAAAATAATATTATGAATATCTAACATGTAATCCAAGTTCAATGGCAAGGATTCCAATTTTTGCCTCAAGTATCAAGGAATCATCGTGCATTGCTTCGCGTAATGCTCGAGCAGCTTTTGCTTGTTTCATATGTCCCAAACACAACATTGCCATATCCAATTGTTTTGTCTTCACGCACATTTTTGCCAAACTTTTCCACACAGTTTCATTTTTAATTGTCTTTATTGCCTTAAATGCCTCATCCATATTGGTGATACTCAGAAAGAAGCAAAAATCCAAAATAGCTTTTTTTGTACTTGAATCGCAATCCTCTAATTCCTCAAAATCTTTCATTACAAGACGTGCAACTTTACCCTCGGTGTTTGATGACAATTCAGAATTAAGAATAATTATATACGGCGACTGAACACCCAATAAACGACAATTGTCATCCATCATCGATCTTACATCCTGAACGACAATACCATGATCGGAACTCGCGAACATTGACACCAAAACAACATTCGCTGTTTCCTGTAATAAAAAAAAAATTCCCTTTAGTCTCTGATTTTTAATTAATTCTTAATAAACTTACATCAGAATCATTCAAAATTCTCGATGATTTCAAATCTCTGCTTTCTGGTTTTTGTGCACGACAAATCAAAAGTCGAGGATCATCTGTATCCCAACAATGAGCAGTCACTAATCTTCCTTTACACTTTGTGACTCTGAAACAATATTTTAAAAATATCTATCCTTTTTATTTGTTCGAAAATTGAGAAAATTATACTTACAATGCAGAATAATCCTCACTTTCATCGTCATTATTGGCAAAATCAAATTCATGCAATTGATCACTTTCAATATCCCAAACGTATAAAATTGAACTTGGCATTAAATTAGCCATTGCAACAGTAATTGACACATATCGACAATCAGAATTACATTTTGCTTCAATAATCTCGGCAAAATCACTAATTGCCTCATAACAAGTCATTGCTCGCGTGTACAATTTTGCTTCACGTTTACCTAAATCCCAAATCTTTAAAATTCCATTTAATGAAGCAACTGTCAAATATTGTCCTGTCAATTCCATTGTTATTGGTTCACCTTCCTCGGGTAGTGTTGAAAGTGTTTGTATAATTGTACCCTCAATTGATCTCAATTGAATTACAATTGGCGTTAATATTACCAAAATATTTTCGTATATGAGAATTTTTTCCGTATCACATGCAAAATTTGATACAGATGTTGTATTTAAATTACCATCTCTTTTTATCTTATACAACGCTATTTGTCTCGCAGAAGAAACTGCAACGTAATCCTTATTCACTGCCAAAATTTGCACTTGAATCTCAGTTTTTAGAATATGATTCTGTTCATCTTTTTTTAGAAGAATTTGCATTGGACTAAGTTGACTTGCACATATTCCATCATTATAGGCTGCACACATTGGCTGTTGATGAAGGATAAAAACATTTGTAATACAATTAACCGCAAGAAGGGGACTTCGTAACATTACAGCACCCCAAACAAGTTGTTTTACAGTTCCATGAACTGTACACGATTCAGGACAAGTTGGCCAACTATTTTCATTCGAATCACTCGAGGTTGTTTTCTTTTTCCAAAAAAATATTGTCCCTAAATTTGTACCAGCTGCGAGTGTTTCTGAAAATGTAATTCATTTATTTAATAATTATTAATTGAATTTTTAAATAATTTTTTTTAATACCATTATTTTTGCAGTATGATAAACTTGTGCATATTTCCTGAGGTGAAGCAACATTTCCAATTATTGATTCCGATGGTGACAGAACGTAAGTGTCGCTTGTATGAAGATCCCAGCATCTTACACCAAGTTCTCCTGTGAGTACCGCGAGAGTATTTCCACCAGCCCAACAAATTGAGGGACCAGAACGTAGAATATCACTTTTTCCACTTAGTTTCACCTAGTAAATATTTAAATTAGTAATCAAGGAATAACAAATATAATTTAAATTAGAAATGTTAAAATAAAGTTAAAATTACTTTTGTTAATTCAGTGAGTTGACCAGTTATGGGATCGCCTTGATAATGAGCAATGTTTAATCCTGCAGTTAAAACAACGAGAGAATCTCTCGACTGATGATGTAATAAAGAATGAAGAGTCGTGTCATCCATGCTAAGAACTTCCGTACATTGTCCTTGAATATCAACGAAATAAATAATCGCTCCTGCAGTACCAATGTAGAAAGCATGATTGTCCCTTTGCATTGGCACTGCTGATGGTGCCGCGGTTTTTGGACGCCACGAGCTAAAGAGATCCAATGCTCTTTCATCGCCTGCCACAGCTGCTTTTGCTAGTCCACTAAAAAATTATCAATTTAAAATAAACACCTTTTATAATTAAAAAAAAATAAATTTCACAATGTGAAAATTAAATAATTTACCTTAAATCAACCGCAGGTTTAAGAGGCGAAATCTTAAAGGCAATATGAGTAAAAGAATCCTTTAGCTCATGATGAAAAGTCATAAAAAGTTGATTTTTTGAATCAATTTTCCATCCAACGACAGAACCCGCAGCATCGGCCGACACAAGTCTTCCTCCATTTTGACTCCATTGTAAAATAAGAATAGGATCACGATGTGGAGTCACAATTGTATTAAATTCACTTGAACCAGTATCTCCTGCCCAAACCTAAATCGAGTACAATATTAATAACAAATCTTCTAATTTTTATTTTCCATTTTATTTGAATACAAACCCGCATTTCACCACTTTCCCAGCCAATAACTAGCCATTTTCTCTCAGGATGCCATACGAGTGCAGTGACCTGTGCAACTGAATGACCTGGTGTTTCAACATCTTGAAGAGGTTCTCCTTGATCGTCGAAAAGTGTCACAAAACCTCCTTTATCTTGTGAAAAAGCAGCAACTGCCAAAAATGGTAAATTCGAATGCCAAGTCGCACAAGTGTTAATTGAAGCGTTTTCTGGATTTTGAACTCGAGTATCAAAATACAGTGTCATTTTCCTTCTGATATATAAAACCCTGGGAAACAAAAAATAAAGTTTATTTTCAGAATAACTAATACTGAAATTTTTATTAAAAAAGCTTACCCTTTTTTAAAAATGTAATTCTTTAAAACATAATCTAGTGTAAATTCGTATTTTACATTCCATTGTTATTATAAAGTGTAGAATAATAAACATTCAAGTTTTTATTTATTTGAAATAATGCAAAATGAGCATAAAACGCGTGCAAGGAAGAAAATATTGATTTCATGATGGTCATCAATAAAGGTTATTCTTCAAAAATCAATAAACTTATTTAGTTGAAATCTTTTTCTGACGTTAGTTAGGAAACAACAAATCGATAATTGTTTATTTTTCTTCTTTTCCACATTTTTTATTATAAATGTATTTCAGGGTCACTTTTTTTTATAATCCATAACCAAGATAAACATAAACAAACATCGATATTTTCCAATATGGCGCAATGCTAAAAATGCATGCTTCTGATTAGATGACAAAAAGTCCATAAATATCCATCTACCAATCACAAAAGTATATTTTGTATATCGAAGTTTCGAGACAATTCGATATACAGCATACGTCAATACCGTTTTGACGTTTGACATTTGAGGTTAGATTACACATTAGTCATATTTTAATTTTAGAGAAAACAATTTTATGAAGCAGATAAGAATTTAATCAATACTTTTATTCTGTTAATTTAATGAGAATTTATTTATTCAAGAATAAAATTTCTTGGAAAAATGAATTCAACGCCTAAGGTAAGCAATTTTAAAGTGTGAAATAGTTCAACATTGAATATTCGATAAGATTATTATTTACTATTATAAGCGATAAATAAACAAATTATTTAAATTAAAAACATTAATAATTTATTTTTTATAAATGGTAATTGTAAATGAACACTCTATTAGAATGTTACAATTTTTTCACTAACTTCTAACCTATAAGTTGCATCACTTTGCAATATCATAACCATCATAACAAAAAAGTTGTAAATTTTGATTTCTTACATAACAGATGCTTAATTTTACATGTAATTTTAGAATTTCAATTAAAATACTCCAAGTTTGTAAATGTAAAGAGGAATTTAATTTTTAGATTTTCTTATGCATTCTTCTCTATGAATATAAATTGTAAATCATTTTAAAAATCAATTGTTTTGACTTAAACTGAGAATATTTTTAATTATTGTCATTATAGGCGGCAGCTGGACCTGCTCAGGAGTTTAGTATACGAGTTCCAAAGTATGTATAACTTTTCAAAAGACCTTGTAAATTTTATTTATTTACTTTTTTGAAAGAAATCAACAACTCTGATTGTATTATAGTAAATATTGAAAGACTCTGTATTATTAAAAATATTTGAAATATAAATTATAAATTTTGGAAATTATTAAAGAAGAATTTGAAATAATTTTATATAGTACAAAAATAATTAAGAGTATTTGAATAAAAAATACTTGAATTTTGCATTATTATTATTAATTTTTTTTTTTACAGAAATACAAAGAAAAGACACAATGTGATGCGATTCACCTCAACATTGAATGTAGATTTTACAAAATGGGCACAAGTGAAAATGGAGCGAGAAAATAATTTACGAGAATATAAAGGTCAAGATGAAGATACTCCAAAATTTGGTGCTGGTTCAGAATTTGGTCGTGATGCAAGAGAGGAGGCTCGAAAAAAGAAATACGGAATCATAAGCCGAAAATACAAACCAGAAGATCAACCATGGATTCTTAAAGCTGGTGGTAAAACTGGAAAAAAATTCCGTGGCATTAAAGAAGGTGGAATTAGTCAATATGCTTCTTATTACATTTTTACTCACGCTCAAGATGGAGCTATTGAAGCATTTCCACTCAATGAATGGTTAGTTTTTTTATTGTTACATGAAATTTATAAGAATAAAAATTGATAAAATTATTAATAATTGAAATTTATTAACTAGGTTCAACTTTCAACCAATTCAGAGGTACAAGACACTCAGTGCCGAGGAAGCGGAAGCAGAATTCGCTCATAGAAATAATGTGATGAACTATTTTTCCTTGATGATAAGAAAAAAATTGAAAAACGACGAAGAAGGCGAAGAGGATGAAGAATTGAAAGAAGATGGTAAAGGTAAGAAGGGTAATAAAAAGTCGAAGGAATTTGTAATTTCCGAAATGGATGAATGGATGGAAAGTGATGATGATAGTTCGGATAGTGAGGATGGCGAGAACAAGAAGAATTCTGATGATGAAGATGGGAAAAAGAATAAAAATACAAAGAAAAGTGATGCAAAAAAGAAAAAGAATAAGAAAAAGAAGAAGGACGATTTTGAGGATGATGATCATGCATTTGAAGAGAGTGATGATGGCGACGAAGAGGGTAGAGAATGTGACTATATGTCAGAATCCAGTGAATCAGGATCAGATTTAGAGAAGAAGAAAGAAATTAAGTCTGTCGCCGAGGAAGATGCTTTACGTAAATTATTAGTTTCCGATGAGGAAGATGACGATGATGATGAGGAGAAAGAGAAAAAGGAGTTTGACGAGGACAAAAATGAAGAAGACGGAAATAAAGAGACCGATAAGGTAAAAATAAATATTACAAAAAGTAAAATATATTTCAGTTTAAAAAAATTTTTAATTTCTTTTGAATTTTAATTGAAAAGTATTTAAAGAAAAATCAATTTTTCAGGAAAAGGACAAGTCGACAAAAGACGGAGAGAAACGCAAGGACAAAAAGAAAAAGAAGAAGAGTATTCAGAAGAAGGATGCGAAAAAATCAGCACCTGGAAAGGATTCGTCGAGTGATTTTTCCAGCGATTCAGACTCTGATTCCGATGTGCCTAAAGAAAAAGAAAAGGATAAAAAGACGAATAGTGCCCATAGTTCCAGATCAACTACACCAACTCCAGCAGCTTCCACTTCTGATTTATTGAAAAGAAAAAATAATGCCTCGCCAGATTTATCACAACCGAAGAAAATGAAACTTGATAATTATACTTCGGTTTCCACGCCATTCACACCTAGCTCCAGGTAAGATTTTTATTTTCTGTTCTTTTTTACATAATCTTATTAACAATTTTTCAATTTATTTCCCTTTCTCCATATTCCGTCACAATTAATTTCGTTCATTTAAAAATTAAATTATACAAAATTTATTTACAGACAATTGTTTATCACAAACTTAGCAAATACAATTCAAAATAATATTTTGATTTCTGAATATAAAAAAATTTGATTACACAATTTTTTATGTAAAACATTCTATTTTTGAAAACGTAAAATAGTATTTTAGAAACTTGTGGATAAAATAAGTTTTGTGGCAAACACTCGGAACTATTTGATAAATAATTATATTATCGCAATATTTTCATTACAGTGAATCAGGAATAACGGAAGAGGCAGTTAGACGTTATCTCATGCGTAAACCAATGACAACAACGGAATTACTACAGAAATTTAAATCGAAAAAAACTGGCTTAACATCCGAACAATTAGTTAATACAATGACGGGAATTTTAAAACGTATTAATCCAACGAAACAAACAATTAAAAATAAAATGTATTTATTTATAAAATCACAACCTAATTAGTTGACCACGCGCAATTTATGTAAGTTGAATAATAATTATTAATTTCATCATTTATCAATATTCTTTGTTTGCTATTTCTAATCATCAATATTGTTTGTGTAAATAATTAAGTGGTTGCCGCAATAAAAAAAAAGCGTATAATTACACAATGTAGATAATGTAAGTTATTTTCGTGATATGTCAAATTTTTTTTTAATATCCTCTTGAATGGATATTAATCAATTGTCTTTTTTGTTTAAATTATGAGTCTTTTCGTTCTTTAATCAAAAAAAAAAATTATCAGAGGCACAAGTTAAAAGTGACAGAGAAATGCTGTGAATACAAATATTTTTCGCGAGATAAAAAAAAAAAATTTAAGAGAATAGGAGAAAGAAGATACTTATCTTTAGTGCCCTCAGTGAGGAGTTTATCAGTAAATTTTGTAATATTTTTCAAGCCTCCAGCTTGCCGCCTCCTTCTTGTGTTATTCTTATCATTTTCTGGTGTGATTTCATTGCGAGTGATACGTTGCTATTTTTTTTTCGACACGTTGAAGAGAAATTTTTTTTTTGTGTACTTACAAAAGTATTTTTGGTAATGTAGGGAAAGTTGAAAAATTTAATTTGTAATTATCAATTAAATTTATTATTCTTCGAGTGTCATGAGAATTTTGCAACAGAATTTTTTGTGTCGATCCAGACGATTATCATCAATTTTTCCGACATGTGCCATAAGTCACAATTTCCGGTTTTCAAGCGTATGATTATTTTCTTTTAAAATTTGTGTTATTTTATTATAATAATATTAAAAAAAAATTCTATGAAAGGTAAATAAATTTGAATTTTGTTTTTCCAGAGTTTGAAAGGTAAAATAATAGCAATAAGAAGAGAGGATCAATCAGTATGGGAGAGAAGAGCAGCCCTTGCACCGGCGAATGTCCGACGACTTGTTCGCTCCGGAGTGAAGGTGATTATACAACCGAGCAATCGAAGGGCTTATCCGGTGCAATCATACCTTTCGGCTGGTGCCGTTCTACAAGAGGATATAAGTTCAGCTTCAGTGATTTTTGGCGTTAAACAAGTTCCAGTTGATCAATTAATTCCCAATAAGACGTATTGTTTCTTTTCACATACGATAAAGGCACAGGAGAGTAATATGCCACTTCTCGATGCAATTCTTGAGAAAAATATTCGACTCATTGATTATGAAAAATTAACCGATGATAATGGACAACGAATTGTTGCTTTTGGAAAATATGCCGGTGTTGCTGGAATGGTGAATATTTTACATGGATTGGGCCTTCGACTATTGGCTCTTGGACATCATACACCATTCATGGTGAGAGAAAGAAAAAATTCAAAAAATTATTTTTAAATTAATTTATAATAGAAAAAAATGTAAAATCATTTTTTCTACTGAAAAAAAAGGAATTTATAATGAAAAAAATAAAATGTTGCACTATTCAGGATTTTTAAGATTGTGTTTTAGCATATCGGTCCAGCACACAACTACAGAGATTCTTCGATGGCAAGACAGTCGATTAGGGATGCTGGTTATGAAGTAGCGCTGGGTGCTTTACCAAAATCAATTGGTCCATTGACAGTTGTTTTTACAGGAAGTGGAAATGTCAGTCAAGGTGCTCAGGAAGTTTTTCAGGAGCTTCCACACGAATACGTGGCACCTGAGGCCTTAAGAAAAGTCGCCGAACACGGAGGTGATTTAACATTTTATTTTTTCTTTATTCGAATTAGTAATTAATAATCTTTTTTCTTTAGATACGAACAAAATATACGCCTGTCAAGTGAGACGAAGACATCATTTAGAGAGAAAAGAGGATGGAGTTTTTGATCCTGAGGAATATGATCAACATCCAGAGAGATATATTTCCACATTCAGTAAAAAAATAGCACCATATGCGTCAATTATCATTAATGGAATTTATTGGGCTGTTGATTCGCCAAAATTATTGACAATTCCTGATGCAAAATATTTATTGAGACCGGCGAATACACCATGGCTTCCAATAAGTGTTGGCGCACCGGCTTTACCTCATAGAATGTTGGCAATTTGTGATGTATCCGCAGATCCTGGTGGTAGTATTGAGTAAGCAACTTTTTTTTTTTTTTTCAAAAATTCCGATAATAAAATCCGTATTTGTTTATTGTGCAGAATAAACGTTAATAATCCATTAAATTCTGTTTTATGAAATGATTTCTTATCAATAAAGAAAGAAACGTTTATCTTATCGAGAAAAACAATTTTTTTTTGTCAAATAGATTTATGAACGAGTGTACGACAATAGATACGCCTTTTTGTTTATATGACGCCGATCGAAATAAAGATACGAAATCATTTAAAGGACCGGGAGTTCTTGTTTGTTCGATTGATAATATGCCAACGCAATTGCCACGTGAGTCAACTGATTTTTTTGGTGATTTATTGTTTCCCCATTTATTGGATATAATGCAATCGGATGCAAAAAAATCATTGGATGAACATAATTTTACATCGGCTGTTCATGGTGCAATTATTGCTTCGAATGGAAAATTAACACCAAATTTTGAATATATACGTGAATTGAGACAACTTAATTCGAAGAGTAGACATAAGGCTTGCATTGACAATGGATCGGAACAATCGAAAAAGGTAATAAACAAATATTTGCAGAGTGGAATATTTTTTTTTCATTAATCTAATCAATTTTTTACACGATTGTAGGTTGTTGTGTTAGGTGCCGGATATGTGTCGGCACCAGTAGTGGAATATTTACACAGAGATAAGAATGTTGGTATTGTCGTTTGTTCTCAATTAAAAGACGAAGCTGATGCATTAGCTAATAAATATCCTGGTGTTGAACCGGTATTTTTAAATGTTCTTGAACGATCTGATACATTATTGGATGTGGTTAGTTCTGCGGATGTTGTTGTTTCTTTGTTACCATATTCTTTGCATCATGTCATTGCAAAAGCTTGCATTGAAACAAAGACACATTTGGTAACTGCAAGTTATATGAATGATGATGTGAAGGCTTTACACAATGAGTAAGTTTTTCTATTTCTAATCGACTTTTACTTAATAAAAAAAATTAAAAAATTTTAATAATTGTTTTGACAGAGCTGAGACTGCGGGTGTAACGATATTAAACGAAGTTGGTTTAGATCCAGGTATTGATCATCTTTTGGCATTGGAATGTTTCGAAGGTGTGCGTCAAGGTGGAGGAAAAATTGAATCTTTCGTTTCATGGTGCGGTGGACTTCCAGCTCCGGAGTGTTCAGATAATCCTCTCAGATATAAATTCAGTTGGTCACCGCGTGGAGTTTTATTGAATACTTTGTCATCTGCAAAATATTTCCACGAAGGACAGGCGAGTATTTTTTTTTATTTAAGATAATATTTATATGTAAATTGTTTTCTATTTCTTTATTTTATTATTATTATTTTTTTTTTTTTTTGAAAATAATTTTTATTATATATCAGATCGTTGAAATTACCGGCGGTGGTGATTTAATGTCTGCGGTTCAAGATTTAGATTTTCTGCCTGGTTTTGCTCTCGAGGGTTTTCCAAATCGTGATAGCACAAATTATCGTGATTTGTACGGAATTCAGAATGCTGAAACTATTTTACGTGGAACTTTGAGATTCAAAGGTTTCACAGAAACAATTCAGGCACTTCAATTTCTCGGACTAATCGATCCAAATCCAAATCCGATTTTGCATCCAAATGGACCCGAAATTACCTGGGTGAGTTTTTAAATAAAAATCGAAATTTCTTTTTTGTTAAGAATAAAATTTTTTAATTTTACTTGTTTAGAGATCGTTAATTTGCAATTTCCTCGGTTTGCCGAATGAGAGTATTTTCTATGAAAATTTAAAACGAAAATTAATTGAACGAGTAAATTCAGAGGAGCGTGTAAAGGCAATTGAAGATCTTGGACTTTTGGAGGAAGATTTGGTACTTAAATTAAATACACCACTTGACACCCTTTCTCATTATTTGTCAAAGAAGCTGAAATTCGAGCATAATGAAAGGGATTTGGTCATTTTGAGGCACGATATTGGTATTAGATGGCCAGATGGTAAACGTGAGTTACGAGGTGTTAATATGGTGATTTATGGAGATCCTAAAGGACACTCGGCTATGGCACGTACAGTTGGCTTTCCGGCTGCCATTGCCGTTAAAATGATATTAGATGGTAAGTATTGTTTAATCTTTCATTGTAATTAGAGTATTAATAATTTTCACAATTAATTATAATTTTGTAATTCATTTAAAAACACTAACAAATTAATGTTTTTTACTTGTGAAAAGAAAAAAAATTGTAAAGATTTATCACAAGTGATAAAGAAAATAGATGCGAAAAAAAGTTCCTTTTTGTTCTTTAGGTGAAATTCAACAAAGAGGAAACGTTCTTCCATTCACACCAGACATCTATCGTCCATTGTTGAGTCGATTGAGGGCCGAGGGTCTCGAATCTTTTGAAACTTCCAAATGGCTGTGAAACAAATCATGAAAATCATTCGGATTCATTTTCTTTTTTCATACATATAGGTACTGTACACTACAATTGTAATACAAAGTAATTAGTTAATTAAATTAGACAAATTAAGCAATTAATTCGATAATTAATTAAACTACAAATTTAATAATCAATTTAGCAGTCAACTAGATAATTAATTTGATAATTAATTAAAGAAATTAAAATTAATAAATAAGTGGTTTTGTGGTAAATCACAAGACGAATATACATGATTCAAAATCGGATGTCGTTAAAGTTTATTGATATCGCCACTAGTTTCGTGGAAAACTGCCAACAATACAATAATATTAGATCACTCATTATTCCAAATAATCGACGCGAGTTTCTTTTTTTTTATAAAGAAAAAAACTCTTTAAGACGATTAACGACTTTTTTTGTTTGTTTGTTTAACATTCTCATTAATTATTTAACAGGAGCAATCGTAATAAAATTTTTTTTATGATTTTTTAATTCAACCTGAAAATTGTGATTATACCTATTATATATATATTTATTTATATATACGATTTACGGAAGGAAACGTTCACAAAAAGCTCGAGTGTCATGTCGTATCTAAATACACAACTTACGTTCAAATGGTGTTACTTTGAGCATATGGCGAGCAGTGATATTACACAAATACGTCTATGACGTTGATTTTTTTTTTATTTAAATAGCGACGTACCGACTAAGATAATTTCATTTTTTCCCCCTTTTTCGTTTAAATAAATAACAAACTTATTGATATTCATACAGCAAAATCAGTGACAAGAATTTTTTCAATAAAGTAATTTAAATTTATAAATAATTGTAAATACTACAAACTATCAATTATTAATTAATAAAACGATTAATTATCGATAATGAAGATTTATTTTTAAAAAATGGTGTCATTTTTTATATCAGACAGAAAATAATCAGTCACTGATTTGATGTTTCCAAATTTTTTGTATTCTAAACTCAAAAAATGATACATTCACAAAGTCGGCAGTATATTTAAATTAAATATAATCGACTAATAACAACCATTCGAGGAAGTTTTTTTTTCGAGATATTTCCCTAAATTGATAAATTTTCTTTTTTACACTTTTAACGTTTAACAATAAATATACAAATTAACATATACATATATTATTTATATATTAACTAAAAAATAAAATATATTTTTATATATAATAATAAAATGTATATTTTATAAACGTAATATGAAATTAATTACAGAAAATTTTGCTTTTCGTTGAAAATTGAAAAATCTTTGTTCAATATTGAACTTAGGACAGGAAATTGGTTATACAGTACAAATTTCGGCGCGAAATCGAATTTTTTGTGGGGTGGCGGGATAAATCGATAATAATTTTCGTTGGAACATAAATGGAATCGTCAAATTCATTGAGTTGACGAGGAGAAATGAAATGGAAAAACGAATTACAAATCTAAATACTATTATTATTTTTTTTAAGGATATTTTTTTTGTCTCTACGAAAACCGTTTTGATATCTTAAGTTCTTTAATTCTAAATTTTTTCGCGACTTGTATGACGAAGATTTTTTTTTATTTTTATTAATATCAACTGCCTAACATTAAAGAATTGACTAAAGTGTGTTTTTCATTTGATCGACTATATCAATATATTATTGAGTCAAAGATCTTTTTTTTTGCATTGTCAAAATTTCTACAATCGTACATAAACTATCTAATATTTGACAAAGTCTAATTTTATTTATTTATTTTTTTTTTTTTGAGACATATCACCGCACTTAATATAATATACTTACTATAACTATATGTAATTTTTTTTGTTAAAACTAATCTCGTGACTCTTGTGGAAATAAGTCGAGAAAAAGAAAAGTGGAAAAAAATGTTATTATGTCAACTCGCGCGCTAAAGGCTTTCGTGATATCAATTTTTTATTAATTCGCAGATTTTTTTTATTACAGTCGATTATAATTCAAAACTGAAATTAATTAGAATTTTCCAATATTGAGTGAAATAATTATTTTGGTTAATAATAATGTGACAAGTGGTCGTTTAATTGAATTAATTTCTGTGGTGATTGATGACAGAGCTTTGATTTAAAATAAAATTCTTGTGAAATTTGAAAATTAATTAGGTAATTTTTTTAAATTTAAATGTTTGTTTAAATTGTATTCAAAACATTATTGAGGAAAAAATATATTATGAGAAGACAGTAAAAAACACTTTTTATCATGTCTAATGAAGAGTGGATACCGGAAGTTTCGTCCTTTAGAAAGTTTAAATTGTTCTGCGCATTACTTTGGGAATACAAAAAAAAAGCATGAAAATCACAAAACTTTGTGAGAAAAGTTGTTTTAGCCAAAAGTATTAAGAAGAGAGACGACTAAAGTTGAGAATTTACCTGGAGAGTATATCCTCCAAGGTAAATTTCAATTTTCATTTGCCTTCTTTTTATTCAAAGCCCGCAAATTTTTTTTCCCACATGAAAAGATTTTAATATTAAATTTCAATTTTCACTTGTTTCGGTGGCGCGCGGATTATTTTATTTCTTCTCGATTTTCATTTCACAAATGGCTTCACACATATGTTACATTTGTATTTTTTATTGCAATTAAATTGAAATTAATTTAAATTTTATTTTTTTATAAAATTTTTTTTATTTTTAATTTTTTTGGACTTGCAGGTTTCAGTAAATGTTATAACTGATAGAAAAAAATCAATTATTTGGTTTTAAATTAAAAAAAAAAAAAATGGAAATTAAATTTTCGAATATTTGAATCAGCGAGTTCACATGGAAAGAGATGTAACAGATGTTGCCATGGAAACGTTTGTGTAAAGTAAAACTTTGTAATACTTGGAGACCGTGCTATTAAAGCAATCAAGTGACCTCAAAATTATTATTTCATATTCATTGCAAAGCAGTACATACACGCAAAGTATAAACACACGTGATCCGATATATATCAAATGCACTACATTTTCCTGGTTCTGGTATGTAATTCTCTTTATGTGTTTCATATCGAATATTAGATGCATATATGCATTTTACAAACTCTCGAATCTAATATTATTTAGTCAAAAACATAACATTGATGGCAATTATTATTTTTTTTTGCGAAAAAGATCGAAAATAGATATTATTTATGAGAGAATAAGGCGAATCTAGTTATATTTTTATTTAATTTATTATTATATTTTTCGCTACTATCAAAATGTCGTGAGAAATAAATTATATTTCTATACTATACGTATCGATAACAAAATCTTGATTTTATGTACAAAATAATAATATTTAAATCTTTAAGGTGCTTATATACCTCAAATTTCGATCAGATGAACATTATTTCTGGACCGTGAAAATGCGTGAAAAGTCATTTTCACGGCGGGTATTTTTGAATTGTTTTAAACAAAAAATGTTTTTTTTTAAGAAATATAATATTAAATAATTGGTTAAATATGTAAGAACACTTTAAAATAGTAACAGAAAGATGATTTGATTGAAAAATTTAGCATATTTTGCTTAAAAACGTTTTCTGCTGCAAGAAAGTGTAAAATGACAATGTTTGTGAAATGGTTTGTACAGTGCTCACAAGGAAGAAGCACTGTACAAACCATTTCACAAACATCGTCATTTTACATTTTCTTGTAGCAGAAAACGTTTTTAAGCAAAATATGCTAAATTTTTCAATCAAATCATCTTTCTATTACTATTTTAAAGTGTTCTTACATATTTAACCAATTATTTAATATTATATTTCTTAAAAAAAACATTTTTTGTTTAAAACAATTCAAAAATACCCGCCGTGAAAATGACTTTTCACGCATTTTCACGGTCCAGAAATAATGTTCATCTGATCGAAATTTGAGGTATAAAAGCACCTTTATTTTATATTTTTCCTCTTTATTTTATATCCTTTATTGTATGGAAGCCCATTAAATGTTATTTATAGTTTTTTTTTTAATACCAATCTGGAAAAAATGGGTTAATGCAATTGAAAAGAAATTTATAGTGAAAGGATTAATCAAAAAAAAAAACCAGGTATTTTAGTGAAAATTTGCTCTATAGTAAAGAAAATTATATTGATTTTTTTTAAATATAATTTAATTTTTAAAAAAATTTAATATTTATAAAATGAAAATTTAATCGAAAAAAATTATTGTGAAAATTGGACAATTTTTTATATTTATTATGTCTAACTACTTCTAGATTTAACGTTATTTACAATTAAACGCTAAATAGATGCTAAATATATATTATATGTATTTTAAATGATATTGACTATTCTTTAATAAAACAATAGTCGGGACTATCACATGATTTAAAATACTGATTATCGGAAGTAATATATTTGGCTAGTTTTTTTTAAACATTTTTTTTTTGATTCTTAATTCTATTATTTCTCGATCTTTTAGAATAATAAATTCTTATGGAATATTTGAAATTTTGAATTTCACGTATTATGAGAAACAAAAAATTACAAATTTTCCACTTTTATTATTAAACTTCATATTTTTTTAATTTTATTTTATTCACAAATTTCAATTAATTATTATTCTAATTTGTTTGAAAATTGTAACAAAATGTTAAATTTTTTTTTATTTCTACGTTTATTTTTAATTAAAAATGTTTAATAAAAAAAATTCTATTGATCGAACTAAATCAAGTCAACTAATAGTCTTCTCAAATGGCTTTATTGTGTAAATTGCACGCATCTGCAGCACAATAAACGGAATTATTTCCGCAAATATGGAACGTTTACTGATCATTAATCACCGCAGATCACGAATCTAAAATATCTGTTTAGATTCATTTTAATGAAAATTTTGAAACATTTTATAAAAATGAAATTATTTTCCAAAACAATTTTATTTTCTATATTATGGAATTAATTTTTTTATATAAAAAGCCTTATTTTTCATTAAATATCAAAAGACCACTTGAATTATTATTAACAGTAAAATATTAATAATTTAAAAAAATGCGTATATTTTCTTTTGGTTTTGATATTTTCATTTGTCATTTGGGTTGTTCATTATTGGACGCACTTTGATTTCACAGCCACGAGAAACAATTTTCTGCAAGCTTGTAAATTTTAAGTGTATAGGTATTATTGCGATTTTTGAAATTTTCATTATTATCTATATATTTATGTACATTGCCTTTTAATTTATTTAAAAAAAACATTGTTTTGATTTTTTTCATCGGAAACGGAAAGTTTTTTTAAATAGATGAAAATATAACAAATAAATTAATAACAATTAACAAATAATTATAACAATAATAAATTAATAACAATTTAAAAATAAATAAGTAGTAACAAATGAATAATAATTTAACATTTAATAAATTAATTTACAATTAAATTGATTAGTGACATAAATAAATATAAAAATTGAATAAAAAGATGTTGGAAATTTCGTGAAAAATATAATAATTGAAAGCTCAGTAAAATATTTCCAAAAAATTCTAATTGATATTTAATAACTGTGATTTTATCTTTAAAATATTCAAATTGAAATTAATTAGTGGGTTCTTTTTGCTGTAATTATCGTAATACTTGGGGGGGGAGTGGTATAATTAGATTTGGCACAAAATGCTGTTCGTTTCAGCAAAAATTTCGAAAATAAAAAAAATTATAATTAAATATACAAAAAAAAAACAAATTAAAAAAAATTATATTATTTCAATATAGTTTCTTTAAATTAATTTTCCACTTGGTTTGTGTGTAATTTAAAAAACAATAAATATTCTTTTTTTTGTATGCACATCAGTGTCAGATTAAGTAGTTCACGAGTTTAAAATTACAAGATTCACCTTTATCAATGATTAATAATTACGCGCAGTTATTTATTATTAAAAAAATAAAATACGTGTCTTAAAAATTACGATTTTGATTGTTATCAGTAAAAAGTGGTTTACCGAATGCAGCAAGAATTTCGCATTAAATATATATAGTCAAATTTTGGATAGACGATCGTTTTGGCAACTCTCAAGTATTAACCGCAGCATCATTTGCGGTCCTAAAAGGATTCGTCTAATCGATTATCTGACCAAAGATTCGACTACAATGTATATATATGTACCACTTTTAATTAATGCTTACAAACTATATATTTATTGGCGTGCTTTACTTTCTTGCCCTTATTTTTATGCTTTAACCTCGCCCGACTTAAAAAAAAGAAATATTATTAAAAATATTTTTAAATATATTTAAATTAATTTAGCTTTGGTTATTTTCACATTATGTAAAATTTCATCAAATTCATTGACAAAAGTTTTTTTTTTTTTTGAGAATTTTATAAACACGCGATTAATTATTATTAAATTAATTATAGATTAAATAATAAAAATTATAAAACTATTTTTCGCAGAAACAAAAAGAAAAAAAAATTACAAAGTTATAAAAAATAAAAATGTTTTAACAAATCTAAACTAAAATACTTATATATAACAATAAATTAGTTATAAATAATATTAATTAACAGTTATGAATTAATAATAAAAATTACTTATTTTTAATTTAATAAGAAATTACTTATAAATTATAAATTATCTATCATAAATAGTTTTGAATTAAAATTAGACAAAAAAAAATAGCAAAAAATAAATTTTTCAATGATTAAATAATATTATTTCTTCATTCAAAGTCACGTGCATAATTTTCATAAATATATGAGGTAGGTATCAAGCTTTGGCATTTCACTTGAACTTCTCATCCTTAATCCGACACTGGGTAAATCTCCAACATTACGTGTATATATATAAATATAATAACGTAATTAAAATTGTACTTATTTTGTTTACACTGTTTTTCCTCTAAATGAGTTATTTTTTTCCTTCTTTTTTTTAATTGCAAACTAGCAACAAATACTGCTCCCAATTTTCGTTGCTTTGTTATTAAAGATTGCCCAAAGATTGCCTTTGTTTTTTTTTTTATCAAGGATTGCAATCGTATATTTAATTAATTTTAAATTAATCAATTGCTAATAATTAATTATTTTATAAGAAATTAATTAATTATTTGTAATTAATTAGTCTTAATTAATTATTTTGTTTTTCCATCTAATTTGAAGATGAGTCTTTAAAAAATTTGAGAAATGAATCGTTAAACGGAAATCTGTCTTTTACGTATTTGTTTTTTTTTTCGTTTTGCATTCCTTCGGAGGAATGTCGATGAAAGTGATTACTTTAAACAGTACATACCTTTTTTTTACTTTTATGAAATTTTTTTCTCTTTAATATTATTGATTTAAAAAATTACGACCCAATGTTGTAAGTCTTTAAATTTTTTACACACACGATTCTGTACATTATATTTCTCAGCACTTGGGTTATAATAATTAGACCAGAGAATTTCGATTAAAAAAATAACAAAAAAAAAACACTCGAATACAGTTTTGAGATTGAATTAAGAAAAGCGAAGAGATTTCTTTTTTTAACTTTTGTGAAATAATACCGCATAAATGTTTTGTTTAATCGAAAATTGTGATTCCCTCGGGAATATTCATTTGAAATTCTGTCTACAAACGTTAATAATAGATCTTCATTTAAAGATTTTATCGACTGCTCGTATTTCTCGAAACGTATTTAATTAAAAATGTGCTTTCATTACTTTTCCCATGTTTCAAGGGCCAAACGGCTCAAGATTGTCAACGAGGCAAGAGAATGATAAACTATTTTTAAAAAACAATAAACATTTTTCTAAAAAAATTTTTTTAAGAATTATCATTTTGTTTATGTGTTAATTTTTTTTATAATTTTAATTTTAGGGAATAATTTCATATCAATATTTTTTTTGTCATTTGTTTGTTATTGGACAGATTTTTCTTTTTTGGCATATGGACTTTTTTTAAAAAAAGATTCCAAATAGAATTTTCGAAAATTGTGTACTCGTTTTCTTTTCTTTTTTTTTTATCCCCCAAAATCCAACAACGTAGTAGAATATAATATGAAAATTTGTTATAAAGACTGATTTTTCTTAATATTAAAGATTTAAATAGATTTGCATCAAGTTCCTGTTTTCACGAGGAATAAAAATTTCACTTTCGTGTTGGAAACCGAATTTCCCATTTTTTGTTATTATATGTATTTACAAAAAGGCAAAAATTTTCCTTATCGTTAAATTTGTATGAATTTGAAAAAACAAATTTGTATATATTTTAGTTGGAATAGTTTTTAGAAATAGACTCTGCCAGACGTTTTTTAAAAAAGTAAATTCAAAAAAGAAGAAACCGAATGAATTTTTGTAAAGCTCTTTTAACCAGGAGAAAAAGAAACTTTGTTTTTCTCCTTTTTTCCATTTCTCTCTGGCTTTTAAGTCTCTTTTTATCCCCCATTTTTTTTTTTGTTTCGATGCTTTGTTTTTTCTTTTTTTTTTATATTAGTTTTCGAATCGAATGTGTGGCTAATTCTTGAGCAGTATTTCGTTTTAAATATTTGTCAAAATAGAAAAGAAATATTAAATTAAGAGAAATTTAAAGAGTGGAATACTTGAATTTTGTTTTTCACGTGGCACGTTTAGCAGCGTTGAGATTGAAATTTCAGCAAAATAAATCCTTTTCCGATTGATTCCAGCAATGAGCAGTGAGTAGGAAATAAATTTGTTGGTCATGATTTGTTGTTGTACAAATTGGAGATGAGACAGCTGACGTGACATATGGCAGCAAAGTGTAACAGGGTGGCGATGGTGAAGTTGAAGACGAGAAAGACCATGTCGATGAATCGTTACCGTTAATTGTAGAAATTATCGTGGGTATTACATCTTGTGTGGATGGTGAGATTTTAGGCGGAGATCAAAGCTCGGAGTCAAACATCGTCAACGATCGTGTGATCACATCGTCCTTGGAAAAAAAATACAATAAAATATATTAAAATCGAAATTATTTAAATAATTCTGTTAATTTTTTTAAAAGATTTAATTAATTAATATTGAGTGAAAAAAATAAATCTTTACTACAGTTAATTAGAGGAGAATAATATTTCGTAAAAAAAAAAAATCCAATTTGTTTAATTGGTTACAATTTATTAAAACGCGTGACTAAATTCTCTTCCATTATTATTAATTGGATGAAATTTTTTTTCTCAAACGGAGAAATTTTTTTTTTTTTTTTTTATGATAAAATGAAAAAAACATACTTTGAGGCAGCTTTCAATAAATTCCTCGATAGTTATGATACCGTCTTGATTTAGGTCTAACTTCCGGAATACTCGATCGAGTTGATCCCTCGCTCTTTTCTCATCCTCAGCAAGTAGATGATGTCTTCTACCCATTAATTCGTGAATTGCATTCACTAATTCACCAAGTTCACTCCTCGTTATACAACCATCGCCATTGATATCGTACAATTTAAAAGTCCATCTTAATTTCTCATAGACACTTCCTCGTAGAAGTGTGGAAAGGGTTACTAGAAGGTCCTGGAAAAATTGTCAACAATAAATTTTAATGAAAAAAAAAAAAAATCTCTTAAAGCTAAAAAAATATTTTGTTTGAAATTTTTTTTTATTTACATATATTTTATTTTTTATCAAATTTTTGGTAATTTTTAAAACAAATAAATTGTTTTACTAATAATTTTTTTGTTACAAAAAATATTTTGCAATTTCTTGCAAAAAAAAATGTAAATTAAAAAATTTTTAATTTGTTTCTACTGAAAAAAAAAATCTCTTTTATATTCTTACATAGTTGAGAAATAGCTAGGAAGCTGGATAAAATGTGAACTCTTATGTTCTTTTGAGCAACGTTTTAATTTCCATTTAAGATGTAAAAGAGAAGAGAGAGATATATATTTCACAAAACCTTTGAAATTTTGCTGACGAGTTTTAAGATGGCTAAAAATGTCGACTTTTTTTTTGAAGTTTTATGTATATATATAATAATAAGTGTCTTGAAAAATGTTTTAACTTTTAAATTTTCCACTTTTTGTATAAATTTAACTTTTATAGATATTTAGAATACAATATGTGTATATAAATGAAAATTCCTTTTCAAGATTATAGTATACATTTTTGTTACTTTTAATTAAAGTATCGATCTAATATTTATTAGAGCAAATACGTACATAAAAAAAGAAACGTTTGAATCGAATTTCATCGTTTGCGTTTAACAATATTCTCAATATATATTTTGCTTATTCAACTGGAAATAAATGAATCAATTCAACATTGTTTGTATTTAGCTAATCAGAAAAAAAATGCTTCTCAATTTTTAAATCGTTTTTAACAATAATTAGTATATAGTTTCAATTATTAAATTCTTTAGTTGCAATCATTGGTTTTCAAATATAAAGCAGATTGAATTATTATTTTTGTAATTTCAATTTTTATGAATTGAAAGAAAATTTAATTATTTGCATATTTCAAAAAGCTATTAAAAAAAATAGCATCACTTTTTTAATATTTGAAATTTGATTCAAAAAAGAAACCATTCTAAAGAAAAGTAGAAAATTTGTTCTCTTTTTTGAAGATATTTTTACTATTCATGGGAATTTTTTTTTTTTTTTTTTTTTTTTGCTTGTCAAAAATTGCAATTACTTTGGCAATGAATAGAAATATACTTTTAGACAATTGAGAAAAATTAGAACACATATGGTATATAGTTACCCTGAAGCTGATGGCGCCATTGCAGTTTACGTCAAAAGCTTTGAACACGTAATGGGCGTAGAAGCTGGAGTCTGCAAATCCAGATGAGGGTAGACCATTAACTAATTACGAAAAAAAAGAGAAGGCTTCTTACATATAATGATCAACTTACTTCCATGTGGAAAAAACTTAGCATAGATGTCCTTAAACGAATCCTCGTGAACCACTCCTTCGGGGCACTCCTATATAAAAAAAAAAAAAAAATCATTAAATTAAAAAAAGGACGAATTTTTTTTATTTTTAATTATTATGAAGATATAAAAATAATAATTTATTTATTAGCGAATAAATTATAACAAATAAAAATAAATAATACATTTTTTTTCTCAAATTTTATAAATTGAAAAAATAATAATTTTTTTTCATCTTTGTAAAAAAAATAATTTGTCAAAAATATTATTTTCACTGCAAACTAAATTAAATATGATAATTTGCACTAGGAGATAACAAATTCCATTTTTGAAATGATTCAAAAAAAAAAACACAATTAGTTTCCATGTTTCCAACCAGACCCTCTGTTTTTAGTTTGGAATAACGCACTTGCATAAAAAAATGTGAAAATAAATTTACCATTTTTACTTTCTAAATGGAAATAAAATAAATATTTACAAAAAAAATAAAAAACGTAAAGAAATATAAAAAAAAAAAAATTTTTTTTTGAAAGAATTACCATATATTTCAGAAAAATAAGATTTTTTTTTCTACAAAAAAAATTACTTTCTTTTTATTAGACGAATACGTTTATTACATCTACAATTTAAGTATTCTATATAAACAGAGAGAAAAAAAGCGAATAAGTCACCGGCTGGAAATGTCATAAAAAAATTGCTCACTGAAAATAAAGATACTTTTTTTTTTTTTTTTAATATAGGTCAGAAAAAATTCTTTTAATATAAAAATAGCAACTATACGATTTAACATTTCAAGGATATAACTACTTAAAAAAAAAAAAAAATGAGAATCCCACACACGGTTCCAAAAACAACTTTTGAGGCATACAGGTATTAATATAATAAATAATATTATTTAAATCAAATAAAATTTCTTTTGAAACAAGTAAATATTTATTTGGCTCTGAGATAAATTTTTTCTTTATTTGTATATATAATTTTTTTATCTCTAAATCTAAATCACTAAAAATTTCTATATTTTTTGTTCCTTTTTGGACTAAAATAAGTAAAAAAAAAAAAAAATTAATAAAATTTAGTGAAATTAGTGGACGACTTTTTACTAATTCAGATTTAGAGAGTGCAAAAAGAAAAAAATATATATATAAATATACAAAAGAATTGCTAAGAGAAAATATATGAATTTAATTATTTTTATGTCATTTTTTTTTTGTTGTAAAAAATTCAAGAAATTTCCTTTGAGTTCCAACTCAGAGGAAATTCCAGGTGAAAGGAAGAGAATATTTCGCGCAACAAAAAGGACGCGTACTATATATATATATGTATATATATATATATATATATATATATATATATAGGATCAGAGTGCAGAATCCTTTATCTCTTCGTCTTATGAATATTGTTTAATGTTATATATATATATATGAATCTAGGTGTTCATCAGAGACAATTTCACTGCCTCGTGAACAAAATAGGACACTTAAAGCAGAAAATGAAACTTGGGACGAAAACATTATACCAGAATTGAAGGTTCTTTCATTAAAAGTAATTGTTGAAGAATGGGAAAAAAATTCAATTTTACAGGATCTTCCAACATCCGAGGATAGAGATCTTTTACTCGAATTACTTCCCACTAATCTACCAATTAAATTGATGATCAAAAAAATACCATACGAATTCTATTGGGAACGTGCGGCAAAAGACAGGTATGTTTTTTTAATCTGCAAATAATTTTTTTTTTTTTTAAATGAAATAATTACTAATTAATAATTAACTAAAAACTAAATAATAAAATGACGAAAAAAATTACTAAAAAAAAAATATATAATTATTATATTTAATTCAAATAATCGGTTTACTTAGCTATAAATAAATATTTATAAGAACCAAATAATTTTTAATTTGAATCAAATAATTTTTTTTCGTGATATTTAATACAAAACAGATTAGATAAAATGGATATGGAGAAATTATTTAAATAAACATTGATAATTTAATATTTTAAAAGGTTTAAAGTGAAAACGAATAAAATTATATAATTAAATTGAGCGCATTATTAATTTAATCCCTTAATTCACTGTTTCTGGATGATGAGATATTTAAATCATTTTTAAAAACGCTTTTAAAATTTTATAAAAGCTTCTGGTATATTATATATACTGAATATAATTTATAAAAGTTAAATTTTAATAACCCTTTTTTGAAATTCTATATGTAAATGTATAGTGGGAATTCATGAATATAGTATATCTATTGAGTAAATTAACCGAAGCCATTGAATTGCGGAATGTATATATACATATAAGCTTGGTAATTCCGTTACAGTCAGTAAACTGGTCGCTAAATTTATCATAAGGTGGTTTAAACCAGCTTTTGGCCCATAAATGTGTAGACAATATTGAACATACGCTAATGTTAGATAATATATATATATATATATATTATTTATAATTAACCAAAAATCCCGGAAGTATATTATATAATATAATATTCCAGAGAGTGGAAATTTCAAGCCTAAATGTAAACCTCGCGCAGCCCTTGGAATTTGGGCTATAACGTTAATTAAAACAAAGTAGAGAGGGAGACTATATATGAGAGATTTCCACGGACTCAAAAAGGGAAAAATTAACTTTATTTTACTTGAAATAAAAAAATTTTTTTTTTTTTTAACCTTTTTCTGCCCTAACTAGAATTTTTCAAAAGTAAAACGTTACAGAAAAAAATTTATTTGGCTCAAGTAATCTTGACTATATTATCAAATAAATATAAATTAATAAATAAATATTATCAAATAAATAATTTTTTAGATTTAAATTGCAAATAATTTGTATTTGAAACAATATAATTTTTTTGGTATTTAAAATAATATAATTATTCTCTCAAAAATCTGAATAACTATAATTGTTAGTAAAATCTTATTTTTATTGTATTTTTAATTTTTTTTATTCTCTTATTTTTAACTAATTCAAATTTAAAGAAGTTTGATAGAAATAAATATTTATTTGATAATAATAATAATAATAATAATAATAATACAAAATTGTATATTTTTTTAAATTAAAAATGTGTAAAAAATAAAAATTCAAAAATTTTCAAAAGAATTCACGACAATAGTTGCGAAAATTTAGAGAATTTAAAAAGTTGAGAGAAAACGAATTACAATTGTTATAATAAAGTTTTCCCGAGGCTTAAACGATTTAGCAAAACTGTAGTGTAGTAATTATACAATGTAGGCGCTTTCTGAAAGAATTATATATATATATATAATATAGTAAAGAGACCAGCGTTATACAATAGACATCCTGTGAGATAACAATGTAGAAATATAACAATAGTTTTGTATTCTCGAAAATTGTCTACTTTAAAGAAGTAGTTTATACTTTTAAAAAAACACTTCTATATTAAAAAAAAAACATCTTTATCGGGGAAAAATCGGTACGATATAAAATAATAAAATTTAATAATAATAATAATAATTTAATAATATTTTAATATTATAATAATATAATAAATATTACGTTTTAAATATTAATTTAAATATTGATTATTATTATTAATATTAATTATTAATTATTTATTATTTATTATTTATTATTTATTATAAATATTTATACATATTATATTGAATAATATTTTTCAAAATTTAAATAAAAATTGAAATCGTATAATTTTAGATGGGAATTCAATAATCTTGTTGAACATGGAAATTCTTGGCGTCAACTTTATTGCGAACGTCATTTTTCTGAATATTTGGAATCACTGGATATCACCTACTTTGATGTTGAACAAGAAGCCTGCGAAGAAGCCATACAACTTTTACGCGATTTCATTTATACTCTTAAAATACATTGTCTCGTGGCCACAGAGTAAATAATCGGGTTTTCATGTCTTTGGTTTTTATCACTCAAAAAAAAAAAAATATTCCTCTATTTTCAAAATATTGAAATTTTATGTTTTTTTTTCTGTTTCTTAAATTAAATCAAATTACATTTTGACTAATTCAAATTTGTTTAATAAAAAAAAAAAAAATTCTAATATTTCAGATATCCTTTAAAATTGTCAGGAAAGGAGAATGATGAATCACATGCAGAAACAGAATTTCCAGTGCAACACATTCCAATGAATATAATTCTTCCTCGACTTTCCAATCTCAGGGAACTTGTCATTAATTTTGGAATGATTTATTTCAATGATGGTTTCGAGTGGAAAGATTTTCAGTAAAGAAAAATTTATTTCATTCAAATAATCGATTATCTCTACAAATAAATATTTTACTTCAATCGAATATAATTTTTATTTGAATTTTTAAATTTAAAATCAGAAATTATTTTGCAGATTTTCAGTAGAGGATTGTAGAAATCTTGGTCGTGGTATAAAGGACTGTTTTTGTTTAAAAAAATTTCACCTGACAAAGAGTAATTTGGACCAACCTCGAGTGGCAGCATTGCTTCAAGAAATGTCCGTGAATAATAGCGTGAGTTTAGATTTCAGATGAAGACAATATATATATATATATATATATATATATATATATATATATAGTTAGGTTGAGTGGAGTTTACTTTGATGAAATGAGATACAGAAATCAATATTAGTAGCGGATGCTTGTTTGCCCTCAAGTCACGAAATCACGACATGCCATGTCTATTAATAAATATGTATATATAATTACAAATGAACACGTGAACACACGTGGATGAAGACATTACCATCAACTTTTCCATATAAATAATAATTATATTTTTAAATTAAATTTTTGATATTTTTCATTTGCATTAAAAATCCATAATTCTAAAAATTCGCTATTTTCTTTTTCTTTTTAAAGAAATATATAAAGGAGACAAATAAATTTTTGATAAAAATTTTATTGGAATATTTCTAGTATACTTCAACTTGAAACTTAAATATTTTATCGAAAGTTTCGCATATTTCATTTATTTTATTTATACTGAAGAATAGCAAATATAGAAAACTTATTTTTGTTATAAAAAAGAGTTTTTTTTTTTTGTTTATTTATTTCAAATTTTTTAAAAGATGTTTATTATAATCTAAAATGGGAATTTTTTTCTATATAGTTGGAAGAAATAGATTTTTCACATTGTAAATTAGAAGACAATGGTGCTCAGGCCATTGGCCTTTTTCTGACAATGCACAAGCGTCTTGAAATTTTGCACTTGGCGAACAATAAAATTGGTCCTGTGGGAGTAGCTGGTATTGTTTATGGCTTACTTGAAGAAAATTCAGTGCCACTGAAGAATTTGAATTTACGCCTAAATCCTCTACAGAATGAAGGTGGAATGCAAATTTGTTCAAGTAGGTTAAAATTTCTTTTTTTTTGAAAAATAAGAAAAATTGAAAATTCGGTTTTTCTCTCTTTGAGAGAAATAACGGAAACCTAAATAGTAATGCAAAAAGTTTCTAAATAAATAAATTGTATTATAAAATACAGTAAAAGGCTTTGGATTTTTTTTTATTGTACCGCAAAAAGACCACAGGATTTTGGTATTAAACTTGAAAACAACCACAGGAGGCGATTAAATTTCAAGTTAAATTTAACATGACTTGGGCACACGGAGAAGATAACGATTTTCTTATACATATAGGTTCTAGTTAGGGGATCTTAATTATTATACCCGTGTCTTACAGAATTATAAGCTCTAAATGTTCAAATAAACGACTTTTTTTTGGCTTAAAAATTACTATTTTTCGATACAGGAAGCATTATTTTATAAATAAATTTTGAAGTAATTCAGAATTTATAATAAAATTCGCAAATTAAATTTCGAATTCAATATTATAAAACAGAATCGTTCTGATTTTTTTTTTTGTGGTCAGATTTCAGTGAAAACAATCGATTTTGAAAAGTAATTTTTATAATTTGTTGAGCAAAAAAAGAAAAATTACGTACGTCATGTTATAAAAGACATTGACACAATTAATGTCTATCATGACATATTATAGCTAACTAGAGTTTGCATAGTTTTGCTCAGGCACGCTCGTCTGGAAGTATTGAATATTAGCGGATGTGGACTTGGCCCAGAAACGGGTATTGAAATGGCGGAAGTCATTGCCTCAGGTCATATGAAATCCTCTAGCATGGAACTTGATGTGTCAAATAATGATTTTGGACCAATTGGTGAGTCTTAATTCGCTTCAGTAATAAACAACAAAAAAAAGTCTTTCTCAAAAAACTTTTCATTTATCATTTTAATTTATCAAAAAAGATGACTTTCAATAAATTTGCATAAATTCTTTATTAATCTTTTTCGCCTATGCAATAAATCTTTTAAATTCAAAGTTCGGATTAATTAGAAGTTACCCTTTTGTAAATTTTTATAATATTTTTTCTTTTATTCATGAAGAATATTTCTGTTTTTTTTTCTAACAGTCGGCGAACGATTTGACAAAAGCCTCAAGATGTGTTCAATTATTGTTGAATTTGATTCACGTTTATGCAACTTTAACAACGAATCACAATATTCAATTAGTCAAACTGTTTTTAGGTGAGAAATTTTAAAATCTCTAATTTCATATATATATATATCTACTATAAAAAGAAAATCTAAAATATTTTTCAAAAATAGAAAAATAAAAATCCAAATTTTAATTGTATTACTCTATTTTTATCGGATGTTTTTGATAACGAAAGATTTAAAAAAAAAACTTTATACATCAAAATAATCATTGAGAATTTCCTCTATCTTTTTAATATTGATGACACAGTATTTTTGAATCAGCAGAATAATTCTGCTGAACTTTCAAATAATACTATACATTATGAATCGTGTGTGTTGTCTAAACTGCGCAAAAAGTTTTCTGAATTTCGAGAGATTGAAGTAAACTTTTTCCAAAAAGAAGAAAAAAAAAACAAGAAAAGTTTTTTTAAAAAAACAAGTTCTATATATACATATATATATATATATATATATATATATATATATACGACAAATTGTATACTTTTTTGGGAATAGAAATTCAATTTCTTTCGAAAGGACAAAGTTAAATAATGATTGGCACACCCAGCAAAGTGTAAAGTATGCTTTATCTGCACGTAGGATTCGGTTTAAAAAACTATGACAAAAGCTTTGGATTCAAGCCAGATTTAAGATTCATTGGTCTCTCTCTCTCTCTCTCTCTTTACCTCGGTTATACACAAATGAAAGAGTCGATGACCTGTTTCTGCATATAGGAAACATGGAAACAATATATCGAATATTTTATGGAATAATAATAATTATAATAAAAAAGTAATAATAATTATTACTGTTATAATAAAAATAATAATAATAATAATAATAATAATAATAATAATAATAGTAAAAATAATCGGTTTTTAATAATGATTACCTCAATTAAATTCGAGTAAATTTTATTATAATAATTATTGCTCTAGATTTATTTTATTAATATGAATAGCAATAATCATTATTGCTTGAATGACGATGTTCCAAAAAAATAATCTCTATAAATCGAAAAACTCTTAATGAAAAAAAATATTTATTTTGAATCAAATAAATTTTTTTTCTTTATATATAAGAATTTTCATTAAAATTTTACTATTTAATTAACGTTTTTGTTATATAAAATTTTCTTTTATAGTAAAATTATTTTAATAATGAAAAAAATATAATTATAAAAAAATTGGTGCAAAAAAAACAAAAAATTCAGTAAATACTTAGAGGAAATAAAAATTGAAGAATATCATAAAAATTTCTATGCTATATATATATATATACACTTGAATACATCGAGAAATACTTTTTTGATTCTCAGTCATTAAAATTGTATTCGCTATACTGAATCGTATAAAACTTAACTTTGCAGCAAATATCGATTTCGTTATAAATGTATGTGTAAGAAAAAACCTTGTTGATATGTACTGTATGTTTTTGTGTGAAATCACATAATTCTTGGGAAAAACTTTTCTCTTCGATATATATCCACCCATTTCTATATACCTCTCACAAACTCTAGAATTCAACTGAACATTATACTTTCAGTTTTTTTTTTTTTTCCCTAAGTAAAAATCTTATATACTCGATTTGACTGATTTTCTCCTTTAAGGAACATTTTTTTTTTAAGAAGAAATTTTTACTATAATTATAAAAATTAAAAAAATAAATAAAAAATGAATTTGTGTGAATGAATTATGTTTCCACGTATGTGTGTGTGTATATATATTGTGAGTCTGTGCACGTTTATAAAATACAGGATGCATCTCAGTGGAGAAAAATAAACTTGTGCAAGTTGGACTACAGCCACTAGCCACTATACTTGAATTGCCCTTCACGTATTTTGCCAGAAGAAACATTTTCATCTTCTCTCCTCGTTTTCTTCCTTACTTAATTTTTCAACAATTTCCAACCTTTTTCTTATATATATATGTGCGAGAATTCTTTTACCTCTCCTTTTGAAAATTCACTTTTCTACCAGGGGTGCAAAGTTGATTTTCCCCCTTACATTTATATGTAATGTTATTTAGAAGCAAATATTCTTTCTACACTATGTAACGTTTGTAATTTAAAGAATCAATGTTTTAGCTCGCCGAGCCAGGGTTCGTTTTGATTCCAAAAAAACAATAGCAATAATAACGGGTTAATTACAAACTGATAACAAATTATTTATTTACAAAGGTATTTACAATGTCCAAGTTGTACGAAGATTAAAGTAAATCGCGAAAGTCGGTTTCGAGTAACGATTTTTCGGCGTCTATCAAAATAAATGTTGAGCCGCGGAAATCGAAAATCGGCATCAATCGGGAACGTCGTATATTTGAGCCGCGCATTAACAAAATCGGCTTCAACTCGCTATGATGAGCCATAAATCAGTTACTTTACTGCCTAAAAATTCGCGATACACCGGTGAACCACGAGTAAAACTCGTGTTCCATTATACAAAGAGTAACACTCTAAGTATATCTAAGAACGGAGATTAAAACGGTAATAAAACAAAAGATCTACTTAAAACTTCGAGATTCAAATTTACGTTACTATACATTTCATTATTTTACTATACATTTTGTTACGTTATATTACAAATCGTTACTATACACTATATACATTAAAACCGATATATGTTCGACAGGTAAAACCCGACGAACGAGAGTAAAACTCTCCACAAAGATTCTCGGAGTAAAACTCCTAGTCAGGTGGGTAAGACCCACCCGGACTCCGTGTAGCACGAGAGTGACGGTCCTCGCCGAGAGCGCAGCTTATATAGCCGCTGGGTGGGCTGAGCGCACGCGAGTGACCTTTGGCGATGCGGCCCGCGCGGCGAAATCGGGTACTACGTCTTTAAGCTCTGCGGTCGGTAACTTGTTTATCGACGCGCGATAATATTTAGTACAAATATTTACCGGCCGATTTCTAACTATCATTACAACTATAATAAAATATTAAAACTAAAAAAAAAAAAGAAAAATATTAACTGTATTGAAAATTTTTTTTTTTTTTTTAATTCAAATAATGAACTTTTTATCAAATATTATTGCAAAAAATTTATTTTTTCTGTTCTATTGTTTTTTTTAATTGTCATTTGTTTATCATTTATTATATTATTAATTTATTGTTTTAAATAATATAATACAGTTTATTTAATTCGAATAAAAATTATTTAGTTCAAGTAAATATTAACTTGATAGTAACCGTTTAGTTGAATCAAATAATTTTTTTTCATTTTCTTTTATACTTTTGCTATCTACGCTTTTAAATAATTGAAAATTTATCTTGTTCCAACAATTCTCATTTTTTGCTGCACATAAAATTTTTTTTTACAGAAATAAGATGCAGAAGGGAAAAGATAAGAAAAAAATGTTTCTATCAACTTGCAACAGTAGCATCAGTAACATTTCCTCATTAATTTTAAAGTCAAGGAGTTTAATATCAATAAAAAAATATGATTCAATAATGGAATTATCCTCATCAAGTACCAATGATGATGATAATAATAAGAATAATGATCATGAACTTTCAGAATCAAGCACGAAAGGTATTTTTTTTCCAATTAGTTAATCCGAAAAAAAAAATTTTTTTCAATATTTAACTAAATTAATTTTAATTTAATTAAAACACAGCGCTCTATTGTTTAGAATTTATTTCCTCGAATTTAACTTCGAGGTACACTAAAAAAAAACGAGTCAAGTTGACTGAAGGAACTATTTAAACTTTTAATTGCTTGTCCAAGCTGAAATTGGCATAATAGAATGACCTAATTAATAAAAGGGGGAAAAGAAATTCCCCAGGGTTTTTTTTTCGATTATAAAAAAAAAGTTGAATTAAGTTATCAATTTTTATCGCAGTTGACATTAAATTTTACATTATTAAATTTTTCACGGAGTTTATAGATTAAAAATTTAATATTACGAAAAAAAAGATTAATATTAATCTTAGTTTTAGAATTGATTTTTTTTTTGTTATAAAAAGGGGAAGATTTTTTTTCGAAATATACAATGATTTTATCATCAAAGAAATTTATTTGAAAAGTTAAAAATCATTTTCAATCAACGATATGCTGAAATAAATCGTACATCGGTTTGGTGCCTTTTGAAAAGTATATATATATATATACATTCCCTTGTGGCATTTCCTGCAATCCAATAAATCACGATAAATTCGATAAACTGCCTCTTGTTACATAATGTGCAATTTCTCAATAGACGTTGCCGAGGAGGACATGGGCAGTAACGCTTTTCAAGAATGGCGACAAGCTGACTACGAATGAAAATCACTCAATCGATAGAGAAAAATGCCAGCACAAATATAGAAGATGAAAAAAAAACAGATATTTTTATTCAAAAACTCCTAAAACAATTATTTTCCGAATCCTGAATTGTTTCATTTTTTTTTCTATTATTTCATATAAAAAAAATATATATACAGATTTTTGTATTTTTTTAATTGAAAAAGTTGTACTGTGTTTTTTGTTAGTAAAGTAAAAATATCAAGTTCTAAAATAACTTTATATTATATATATATAACCACTATTTTTTGATTTTATTTCATGGGCTTTTGAAAAATATTGCAAAAACGATGAAATGCAACACTTTGAAGTGCTTCTAAATTTTTATGAATATACTTTAAAGGAGATGTATATAAGATTTAATACCGCTCGTGTCCGAATAAACCAGCGATAAAAGTGAAATTTAAACAGACCATATAATAAGAGAGATATTGAATTTTTCATGTGTAACATATAAAATTAAATTTTCACGATCAGAAATTATTATTATTATATAGATACGAAAATATTGCATCTCTAGATTTTTATATTTTATAATATTTAAATAAAATAAAATTTAAATATTTATTTGGTTCTTAAAAAAAATATTTTTTTAAATTTAAGAACATTAATTCTTATTTTATATATTTATGCAAAAAAGAACCGATCTACTTTCTTTATTGTTTTTATTTACCTTTTTGTATTTCGTAAATTTTATATTCTTCTCTTGAAATATTAAATACAATTGATTTTATGTCACGATTTTAATATAATCCAATATAAGCTTCATTGAATGCATGTTTCAAATTCATTTATTATTGAATAGCGCACTATATATACAATATGATAAATGATTCAAAATTTATTAGAAACGAGTTCGTTTAAAAAAAAAAAATAATTCCCCCCCTTTTTAAATTTATAAAATTACAATTTTTTTCATTTTGAGAAAATATTCATTTGACTTTTTATTATTATATTAAAAAAAAAAAAAAAAAAAATATGTTGATTTAATTAAATTTTGATGAATTTCAATGTCCAAAGAATTTTTACGAAAAAGGAAATCGGATTCCTAGCTTTCATACACAGGTTGACATGAATCCAATTTCGTGTAATCTAGATCTACAGGTTCCAATTGATATAGGAGTGAATAAAAAAAAAAAAGTTTCTATTGTCACAAGAGTGAAAAAGCCAATTTTTTTTCTCAGTTTTTAAATACCGTTAAATTTAATTTTTCTCTTGAATATTAATTTTAAAATTTAAATATCACTTCTAGATAAATAAAAATAATAAATAATTTTAATAACAAAACAAAATCATACAAATTATTTTTATATAATAATAATTGTAATACAAGCGTCAAATTTAATTAACTTTTTTAAATTAAATTAAATTAAATTTTTAAATTAAATTAAATTTTTAAATTAAATTAAATTTGTTTTAATTAAATTTATCATTTATTCGATAAAATTAATGTCTAGAGAAAATAAAAAAAAAACATTTGCATTTACTGATTGCTTTTTTTATCATCACTTCTCAAAGCAAACGTAAACTAAAAAAATTTTTATTTAATACAAATAATCGATTTGTCTATTATCAAATAAATATTTACTTGATCAAAAATAATTTTTTTTTAAATTAAATAAATTGTATTTCTACTAATATTTTTTGTATTTGAAACAATAATTTCTGTATTTTAAACAAAATGCCATTTAATTGACTCAAATATTAATTATTACAAATAAATATTTAGAAAAATTTTTTTTTTGAAACAACCAATTTTAAATAATAATAATAATAATAATAATACAATTATAATTAATTTGAATCAAATCAATTTTGTTTGTTTTCCTATTTCTGATATTATTAATTTATAAATTAATAAATTTGTATTTATAAATTAAAAATAATGCCAGAAATAGGAAAACTGAATTTAAAAAAAAAATTGCAAGCAGTAAATTTTGCATTGTCATTGTTAATACGTAAATAGTCATTTTTTTAATTGATCGAATTTTTTTTTGTGATAATATAAGGTGATTGTCCAGTTAAATAATGTCGAGTGAAACTCCTGAATGAATGACGAAGTAAGTTGTGTATGTGTGTGTGTGTGTTTATGTATATAAACAGGGTTGTATCGATGAGATCAGGAGACAAATGTATCCAATGTTCTCTGGTACTCTATATATATATATGTATGTGTGTATGGTGGGATGCATTTGTGACGTCACCGGCGTGTGTTGCTGAGAGGATGAGAATGAAGAGAAGGAAGAGAGGGTGTGCGAGGGAAAAAGGGAGGAAGGAGAGAGAGGAAATCGATACAGCCCACCAGCATCACATCTTTTCTCTCATTCTCTCATCTCACTCCTTCTCTTTCTCTCTCCCTTTTTCTCTTTCTCTCCCTTGGCCTCGTTCCGCTTTTCTTTTCTCTCACTCATTTTTTTTTCTCTGTTCTACACGGACATTATTTTTTTTTTTCCCCCGGTTCCTCACCTTATTCTTTATCTCCCTTTTTTTAAGCATATCTTTCTTTTCTCCCTATACCCTTGTTCGAAAAAAAAAACACCCACACCCTATCTCTAGTCCGACTATTATATGTCAGTAGTCGCACGTGACTAGACTTTTTTCCATCTAGATTCTTAAAAAAAAAAAAAAAAACGAAACAATAGTTTTAAAAAAAATGTAAATATTTTCATATCGTGTATTTGACAGTCTTTATCACGAATTAAAAAAATATTAAGGGTAACATTAATCATTTAATATACACTTAGGGGGGATGACTTTTTATATAACTATTTATACGAACGCTGCGAGAGAATAATTTCTAAAAAAAAAAAAATGTGTAATTTCTCAATATGTAAATGTTTGTATATAAATATTATAATTAGAACATGATAAATTATATATATTTAAAGATATTAAAAATTAAATTCAAAATAAATAATTTATTATTACAGATAAAAATATTTTATATCCGTTTATTTGAGACAAATAAATATTTACTTGGCTCTGAAACAAATATATCTTTTCTCTATATTTTTATAATTATTTTCAAATTCAGGAAGAAATGTATATATTTTTTTTTAATAAATAAATTTTCAACTAATTTTTGTTTTTAATAAATTAAATGCAATTTTCTGAGGAAATAAAACAAACACTTGTTAGAATGAAAGAAATTTTTTTTTTTTTTTTTGATGAATGAAATATACAAACACTTGCGACTGAATGAAACAAATATTATTTCTGAATGAAAAAAATATTTATTCTGATTGCAAACATAAATTTACTCCGAATGAAATAAATATTAATATACTTAATGAAACATAAATTTTTATATTGATTCAAACAAATATTTCATTGAAATAAACATTTTCTTATCAAAATTATAATTATTAATTATTATTCTCGATTTATTTTTTAACTAAAATATTTATTATATAATTATAAATAAGAAATTATTCTGAATTGTCGAAAGTATGCCGGAACTATGCACAATTGAAATTAGAATTTTATATATATATAATTTTGAGATTATTTTATGCCAATTGGCAGAGAAACTGAAATGGGAGGGATTGTGTACATCGATTTATTTGTTTCGGAAACTTTTATTTGCTCGTGATGTGTGTAAAAAAAATTTATATTTATACATGTACATATATACTAAAATAAATGTAAAGTAGAGCACTGGAGTTACAGTGTGTGGCTCAATTTCAGTCCAATACGAGAAATTCTTTTTGCATATATATCAAAAATCTGCAGTCCAATTTCCAATATTATATATATAGTGTTGTATGACTCGCGTATACAACACAAAAAAAAAGTAAAAATATTCTCTTATCTTTTACATAAACATACAAATTTACAAGAATATTTTTATAGCTTTTATTATAAAAGAAATTCATTTTTTTCATAAAAAAAAAATTTATTTTTTTTAAAGTATTTTTTGAATTTTTTTTTTGTATTGCAAACTATGTTTGTTTGTCTTAACAAAAATTAATAAAAAAAAAAAACTATAGCTAAATAAAAATTTATAATATAAAATAAAATATTATATAATATAATTTTATTATACATATATAATACAAAATGTTCTGTCACAATTTCAGTAGTAAGGATAAATATTAAGTCAGACAAGTTAGCGCTTATATCGAACTTCGTTTTGTATTTATTTTATATATATTATTTAAATTATATTATATATTTTATATTATTTATTGTGGCTCTATATTTGTATACCGTAATTAACATAAATAAAAATAAAAATTAAATTATTAGTAATCATATAAATAAAATAATAAACACAAACTGTATTGTATATATATAATAAAGTATTATCAATATGAAGTGATTAAGGTCAATTTATAGTCAGACGGATTCAATGCGAGAAATGTTAATGATTTACAGAAATTAATAAAAAATACTTCCTGTGGATATAATTAATTTTTACTAAACTATAATAAATATTCTTCAGTATTAGTATAAAAAATTAAAATCCATTTAAAAGTATTGTAATTTTAAATACTACTGAAAGTTTTTTAAGGGGTTAAGGTCAATGTGTAGTCAGCCTACAAGGAATTTCTTTTTTATACTACTGAAAACTCTTATTATCTCTTATTATATCTCTTATTACAATTTTATTTATAAATATTAAAAATTAATTTTCCATAATAATAATAATAATAATAATAATAAAAATAAAATTGAATAATTAATATCAAAATAATTAGGAAAGATTTATAAAAAATATTTTACATATTTTATAATAAATACAAACGATTGCGCGAAACCTTCGCTTGAACTTGCCTGACTTAATATTGACCTTTACTACTGAAACTGTGTATGGCGATATTTTATAAATATTATTTTAATAAAATTTTGTTTATTGTTTTAACACGTTAACAAATATATTATTATTAGTTAATGAAAATAATATAAATAAATTATTGATGAATAATAAAATAAATATATATTATAAATAAATAATATTTGATTTGAATAAAAAAATTTTCTCGTGCGTAATAATTTAATATATAATAAAATTAATATATATGTAATTTTTAAATAAAAAAGAAATAATATAAAGTTTAATTAAAATTTTAATTACATATATATCTTTCATTATATCATTCTTATATATCAAATATATATATATATATATATATATATATATGGACAAATAAGCTATATTGATTTCAGAACTTTCTACCCCTATATATAATATAGACAATACTTCACTAACCACATTTAACACACAAATTCAATTGCAATTTACCCGCAAAAATAAATTTTATCAAAATTGAAAAATTTAATTAAAATTATTATTTAATAAGAGAACAAATATTATAATATTATATAAATTATTTTATGAATATTATAATCAGATAAAAAAAAATTACTTTTTTCACTTCGAAGCTTGAAAATTAAAAACATTTTAATGAAAAAATGTA